CTTCTTCTCCTTCCTCTCCTTCTTCTTCTTCTTCTTCTTCTTCTTCTTCTTCTTCTTCTTTTTCTTTTTCTTTTTCTTTTTCTTCTTCTTCTTCTTCTTCTTCTTCTTCTTCTTCTTCTTCTTCTTCTTCTTCTTCTTCTTCTTCTTCTTCTTCTTCTTCTTCTTCTTCTTCTTCTTCGTCTTCGTCTTCTTCTTCTTATTATTATTATAATCCGAATTTTGTAGCAAGTCATGATTGTACGGGAGCAGGAAAACATGTGAAACAGGATAATTTAAGATGTTTATGGACTAATAATTGTTGGTTCTCTCTGCAGATCAAGCAAAGAGGAAGCTTGAAGAGATTAATCTGCACCTGTTTGAGCGGGAGTGTGCGGCCCAGTTCAAGAGAGACAGGGCAGAGGATGAAGATGAGGACTTGGAGCAAAGGATGGAGCGCATGGAGAAGAAGTAAGGCAGCATGCTTAATTTATTCATTCTTTATTCATTTATTTTGCATATTTAAAACCCAAATGATTCATTCAGTATAATATTTGGTCATCCTTTTCCAAAAATATAATCAAAAATAAAATACAACCATGGAACACTTTATAAATTAACAACAATGAAAATGACAACATAACTATGAAATAAATAAGAATAACTGAATGTGTGTACAATAAAAGTTAAACAAGTAGGAGAAGAAGGAAAAAAATGGTGAAATTGCACAAGAAACTAACAGAAAAGAGAAGGGACTGTCCATAATAAGATCAGGATGAACAGACATGTTTAAACGATTGAAAAAGAATATATGTTATGTATAACATAAATCTCACCATGTGTGTGAGGGGATAATGATGCACGCCTTATCACCCATGTTTCTGTTATTGAGGTTTGGTAAAAGTTTTTGCTTAATCTTCAGGTTTCTCTTTGTAGATTTCTTTTCTGATGGACTTCTGCTTTCTTTCTATCTGATGAATATGATATAAAAAAATCCCTCATATTTTTAAATTTTTGTTCTGTGCTGAGTTGAAGTATTATTTAGGGGAGATATCTTGATATGCAAATATGTAAAACTAAGTATTTTTACTTTTTCTTCTTAATAGGCTGGACGACTTGGGAGAAGTGCTATCACATCTTATTCCAAAGGAACATATCGCAACTTCTGAAATGCACAGGAAAGTATCAACCCATTCTCAAAACAAGGCTCCTTCATCACTGCCTGCTCCAAAGCATGATATCCCTGTTTCCTCTCCAGTGGGGAGAGAACTAGATTTCAGTATGCCTTCTTCATCTCAGACAGCCAATGACTTCAAAGTGCCGAGTCCACCGTATCCAGGACATAGTACAACAATCAGGAATGACAATGAAGAGAGGAGGAGATTTGTAGAACAGATGAATGCAATGAATGACTTCCTCCAACAATCTCAGTCAAGTTCAAAGAAACCCCATATCCCACCGCTGCCACCATCAATGAGCTCACCTCTGCTTCAGCCAGGTGATTCTCACCAAAGCGGACTCTCTTTGTCTGACATGCAGTCTTTCCTGAGCCACATGCAGCACATTCCTTCCCAGAATGTAGTCGGCAGCCACATAAATCATGATGCGAACGATGAGAGTGATAACTACGTCCTAGAGCATACCATCATTGAGTCTCCTGCGGTACCTGAGACAAGACATCGTTCGCCACCGGAAGGTGGTGATGTCCCGCGGAACAGCAACAGACCCAAGAGCGCATCAAAAAAGAGGCGTAAGAAGAAGAGGGTGGCGCCAGAGTCTAAGGAAAGTTCTGCAGATGCATGGTCAATTTCGAGCAGTGAGAACAGTCCCAGAGAACCAAAGGTACCATTGTCGACTGTAAGTCATACTCATAGCTATCCAGCTTGGTACCAAAGGTCAGCATTCTCAACCATTAGAGAACAAGCAGACGAGGAGGAAAAAGAGGAACAACGACAGAGCTGAAGAATTCAGAATTCAGATTAATTATTTCATCACAGATCAGCTGTAGATAGATGTATGGGCATCAGCTTTGTGGCATCATTTGCCCCTATGTGCAAACGTATGTCTTTCTTTATAAGCTCCCTGAATCTCTGGATAACTGGGTATGTGTTTGTATATATGATTGATTACAAACAGATTAGGATTTTTTCAAAGTTAAGGACCGAAAATCTGAAAGACCACCAATGAGCATTTCTCGTGGTCACAAACATTTGTAATATGAACATATGTCTTTATTGAAATGATTCATGTAATCACTTCTCATTCCCATGTACATAACAATTTAGACTGATCAATGATACATTAGCAAGCACAAGCACCTGCAAGAAAACATTGAAGGATCCAAAAGGGGCAAAGCTCCTTTTCCAATGTAATGCTTGTGGTGCTTTCGTTCCATCCAGAACTTTGATATTCATATGTGTCAAGTGCTGAGGACTCTTATGGGCTGAAAGTTATATGCACCATACTTTTCACCTTGATGTACATATATAGCAATAAATGTATATGCAGTCATTTTTATTGTATTGCTATTTTGATATATAATTCATACATACTTCTGTAAAAGCTTTAAGTACCACTCCAGGTGTGTGTGTTTTATTGGGTATACTGCTGCCCAATATCTTGTGGTAACATACAAGTGTAAATGTATATATGTATATTTTGTTATTCCTTGAGATGAAATGTATTTTGTTTGGCAGCTGACTGACAGTGTGTGTTCAATACAAGTCCTTTCTATTCTCATCATTTTTTAATATGATGGTTTGTTCGTATAATCATCTTTCAAAATAATCTGTTTGTGCAATTCTCTCGTTATGAAGCAACAAGATTTTAATAGGGAGCTTGAATTTTAAGCTCTGCAATAATATGGAATGTTTGAACATCTAATTAAAGCAAATTATTTCGATTAATATTAACACTTTAAATCTTTGGCAAGGTAATATCTTCTTAATTACATAAAGGCTGTGTCAGTGAAAAAGATGGCAAGGACAAGTTAAGACATTTCATGTTATTTATGGTAGTTTCTTTTATACTAAATTATTTTCTTAAAGATTGTGATAGGATGCAATATATGGATGTGTGCTTAACTACATTTCATCTTGCTCTTAAACCAAAGAAATTTGTAAATTTCATTCATCTTGATCATTCTTAATGTTCAGCACTGAATCAGTCTTTTAGATGTTATGATGTTCTTTGCATTGATAATCATAGGAAGTATGTGCAATCTTTAGCTTTGCATCATTCTGCTAAAGTGTATTCTTATTGTTATTACTTATACAATGCTTTTCCCATAAGGCCCAAAGTGCTTAAGTTTTTTTCCCGCAAACTCTCTTGTTAAAGATTTTATACCCTTTCTAATACTTCATGAGAGTGTTATTACCCTTCTCAATATTTTATGTAGTGTTTCATCCTACCATGTTGGTAAAATCGTATGCAGAAATTTAACCATAATTTATTTATTTTTAACAATGTACTAAATATAATGGATAGCAAATATGTAGCTTTTGAATTTTTGATTTGTTATCTTCTCACTCTCTTTATATATTTTCTATCAGTAGTTAGGATCTTTGCTGCATTAATATATAAGGCTTATCTTATTTGTTCAGCTGTATTTCTTTCCTTGTTTATTACATTTCATCGAGCATTCTCGTGGATCTTTATATCAAACATTCCACTTCTTGAAAAACAGTACTTCCTTTTGTTTCGTGTGTGACCCATTGAGCAAGATTTGTGTATTCATGTGTATATATGTTTTCAAACAGAACATTAATTTGTTACATTGCATTGTAAATTGATTTATATGTTTATAAACAGAATATTGTTGTACATTAATGAAGTTTAATAAAAACAATACAATACATGTACATAGTAGTTTTTATAGAACCTTTGTAAAGTTTGGAATCAATGGCAATGTTGTAAATTAATGATTATAACCTCTGCAGGGCATTCGTATTGTCCTTACAGCACACATATAAAATCATAGTCGTCTCATTGATGCAGATGAACAAATATTATTTGATTAGCTAGTCAATCATGTTTTGTGTGTATGTGGCTCGAACGGACCCATCTTAAACACATTATTACTAATTTTCAAAGCATTTCCCACCCTCAAGAGAAAGAGAGAGACAGAGGGAGAAGATTCTAGGATTCTTTAGAAGCCCTCTGCTTGCATGATAGCATAAATCCACTGGAGAAAGAGTGAATCCTATTCCTATTCACAATGGATGTGTCTGCCGAGCCTGCCCTTTAAACCAACATCCCCATTGAAAAGTGGCAGGATAGTGCGATGGCAACTGCATTGCTCAAGTTGGGGGGGGGGGGGGGGAGAGAGGTCAAAATGGATTGTTCTCGTTCCATCCAAGGTCCCTCGCGACAAAAAATATACTATTGCAGTTTAATTATACAGTTTACTAAAAATGGAAACCTAAATTTGGTCCGTTATCATACCATTTAAAATTTTAAAGTTTACTCACAATGTTCTATACCTCCTAAACACAAGTTGATTTTCAGCAAAGTTGCGACTTCTCACTAGATTTTTCATCAAATAACTGTCTGATATATATTCCAGAAGCTTACAAGTGCTTGCTATCGAGATAAAATGGGTCTATGGTCGAACCTTTCTTGACGGGGACTAATATTGACCTGGGCATAGTTTCACAAAACCGTCATAATTACAAGTTTGCCAACATCCTATTGAAAAGCATTTAATAAAATTAATACCTGTTGCAATGGGATGTCGGCATACCAGTAGATGGGATGTTCGGTGAAACGATGATCAGATCTTCAGCTGTAATCTCGAGAATTTGGGTTTTGAATCTGGTATGGGCCTAGAGCTTTTGATGTGTAAATGTTAAATAGCAATTTCTTAAACACCCTTGAGGTTGACTTTAATGAGTATTTCTGAGTTTTTTTGGGTTTTTATAACTATGAATGAATAAATGCACTACATAAAATACATACATACACAAACATCATACAGTTCAAACAAAAAACACATCCATACACAAAATCTAATGGATAACCAGATATTACTTGCAGTGCTTTATAAAATATATTTATTCATTCATTGTGAAAATCTATAGAATAATTCAACATAAATTAAAAGAACTGGTGTATCATTTGACATGAAAGATCAACATAGCATGATTCTAGAAGATGCTTAATTTTCTCTGAATGATTTCTTGACGACCACAAGCAATACATACTAAAGACAATACATTAATTGAATTGAATCTATAAAGACAAATAAAAAATGACAATAATACAACAATGAATGGACTTAAACAGTGCTCTGCCTCTACTACACAAAAACATGTTCATGATGTACACTACTTTGAAGCTTCCTCGGGTATTTCAAAGACCATTCAAGCAGGAATAACTTTGGTGAAGATCATTACAATAACTTCCTTCTCAATAGCTTTTTGTATATTCTTTAAAGTTTCATCACTACTGATAAATAAAATGCACTATGAAATATAACAAATGCGGGGGCTATTCCGAGTATTTTTAAGAAATTTATGGTGCACAGACATAAATCTAAAAAAAAACAAGGAAATCTATTATCACAGTCTATCAAAAGTTTTAGTACACAGGCTGACTGAAGATGTTAATTATTCTGTTTTTCTAAATCCCAGGAAACATTATAGTACCAAGAGCAAATTTAAAAAATGCATGATTCTGTGTAAATTTTGCAACTGTATTCCTTCTATTGAACAGCTTCATGCCACACATCTTCCCAATCATTGCTATTTCAGCTTGTAGCTACAATACATATTCTAAATTTTATGTAGGAAGTAAATTATACTTCCGTTCTTCTATGCATGTACAAATTACAAAATATGCTGAAGGAATTTTTGGAGTGATAATATCTTTCTTACAAAAGGCATGAGTGTCACTTTCAATACCGGTATTTTCTAGAATAAGAGGTGAAAAGTGTATAACTCGAGAGCTTAGAGAGTAGATTAACAAGTAACCAGGAAGTCTCGGGTATTGTAAATTGATTCATTTAATACATTAAATACAATAAAATTAATACAATAGCACGAATATTACCCAAACATGGACTAGTTGTGAAAATAACCCAATGTCTTATGCATGTTAAGTTATTATGATTTTGCAGTTAAATTTGGACTAAGCCACATGCATTCTATTTAAAATAGTTACGGTAAATATCATGTGTACATGTGCATGTACCTACTGTAATAAAGAGTATATGTATTAGAAGTGTACATTAAAAGCTACTTTTGGTCCAATTTTGCACTATATTTGAAGAATCTGCATAACATCCTAGCATTAATGTACATTTACATAGATCTCATACACATTACTCACATAGAAATCTAGCTTTACCTCTCTACCAACAGTGCTAATTTTAAATCTTAAAAGGGGGTGAGGCAAGGATAAAACTTAAGATAATATATTTTTCGTGACCAGAAGTTCAAGGCTGAATCCATTATATTACAACCTCATCCTTATATTTACTCAAGTTTCTGCGAGAGGTGGACCAATGAACTGGGACGAGACAACACTCACCACACTTACGTAAATGCTTGAATGACAAAATTCATGACTCATATAAAAATCTATATAAAATGATATATAAAAGGGAAGCCATTAATCAAAGCTTTCAGACCCCACCATAGTTCATAGCCATCAGGCTGTATCAACGATCCTCAAGACACACAGATGGACCTCTCCAGGGGGTGTTTCACAGAACTAATCATCAGTGACAAATGACAGTTTTTGTTATAAGCTACTGAAATCCTTGCTTCTGATTGGTCATAGCAGATTTGTCACTGATTCTTGTCATTTGTCATTAAGAAAGGGCTTTGTGAAACAGGACCTCTAGGACCATCCTCAGATGAGCTCCACGTAGTTTGCTGGGAAAAGACCAAACTCGCCACTGGGGGCCTGCCCCCTCCACCACCCTTCATCGATCTGCTCAATCTGCGTGATGATGTCACCGGGGTCAAAGGTCACCTCTGTATCATCCTCGGCCTGGTAGTCGTAGAGAGCCCTCGCTGTCATGCCCTGGTCCTGGTCCTGGCCCTGCAATGCTTCTAGGAGGACCAAAACAAAATGCCCAATTAGTCTATCGGTACTTCTTCTACTACTCATAGTCACATTTGTATAGGTCCGTATTCTACTGAAACTTAAATCCGACGCTGCATTTCAGCTCCTGTTCGTAATTGGGTTTGATAAAGGATACTAGATTGAGGTTAACGTTTTTGTTTGTTAAACGTAATCTTAGACCCAGGTTTGGGTTTAAATGAATTAGTAGAATATGGGCCATATTGACCATTTCATTTTTGGTCAGTCAAAGTTCTTTCAATCCTCAAATGGTCAAAGATGGTAATTTACACGGAGTATTCATCCCAGTGGATATAATAGAATAAATATCATTATCCTGCAAAAAATAAATACAGCACACAAAATAATCAAAAAGTCAATTTCTAAATTTTCTTTTTTGGTTAGGGGGGGGGGGGGGGGGTAGTTGTTGGACCATACTCGCCAAAAAGACTGCTGAATGCTGTCTAGAAAGCAAATCATATTAACAAGAACAGTTTAACAAGTTCCTTTTTAATCAATTTTCAAACTGAAAGATATTAACAACTCAAAGCCCTGCTTTAGTGACCCCCTGATATTCTCTGTGGCACATAAACACCATCCGTAATGACTGACCTTGGTTTTCATAAAGTTCTTGTTCAGGTTCCTCTGGGTAAGGATCCTGGGCTGGCGTCTGGTCCTGGTATGGGTCCGACTGGGCTTCTGGTTGGTACTGATCCTGCTCGGTCTGAACCTGGTCTTGATACGGATCTGAATAAGGTTCTGGCTCGGGCTCGTATGCTGGTTCTGGTTCTGGTTCCTGTTCGTATACAGGTTCCGGCTCATGTTCCGGTTCTGGTTCTGGTTCCCATACTGGTTCTGGTTCCGGTTCCCGTTCTGGTTCTGGCTCAGGGACAGGCATGGGAGGTCTGGCAGCAGGAGGTCTGACGGCGGGAGCACGTGATACTGGGGGTGGGGCTTCCTGGTCTTCTGTGACCGGCTCTGAAGAGCTCTGCTTCCTCTGAGATATCATTGCTGCCATTTCCTGTTTTTGAAAATGGTACAGACACTCTCAGTATCAACTAAGCACTAGGCCTTCCCTTTTTTCAGTTGCATTCCCTGAATGGCTCATTACATTTGAGAATATTAAATAATATCAATACGACTTGAAAACAATGAGCATGTATTGTAAAGCCAACCTTATTAATTGGGTCATAAAGTGAGAAGATGAGTACCGGTATGGTCATCAGGCAACTGTAGCCATACAAACGTTATCTTTTGACATTGTTTTCACTGTTTGTATCCTAAGAAACCATGCAATGTCTGTTTTCAATTATTATTTTAGTGAAGAATTCAAGACCCCCCCCCCCCCGCCCCAAGGAAATCTATTGTAGCCTCATCATCATACCCCTGTATCCTGCTCTCCCTCTCTCTTGCTCTCTTTCTCTCTTCCTTCCCTTCTCTTTATATCCTTTTCCTCTTTTCTTTTCTATCCCTTTTTTCAGGACTCCCACATGATCAAACTGGATACTTTAATGAATATTAACAGGTTTTGTAGAACATGACTGAAAAGACAACCCATCTACAGTGGTAATTCTCTTCTGTTTTGCTTGAGTGGCCTTTGATAACAGATAGGTTGACTGTATTCTGTGTCTCCATACATACCTTTTTCCTCTCCTCTGATTGCCCTGTCCTTCGTGTAGGAGCCGCATCTGATTCCTGTTTGTTTTCCTGTCAAAACATAATAATTTGGAAAGTCAAGGCAATGACCTCTCCCTTGCTTTAGGGCTCATTAACATAGGACACCTCAAACTGCTTCATTTGTTAACTCTTTATATGCCACACAACTAATTTCCCTGTGCCACACTGTATTTATCAATACAAGAGGGTGATACCTGATATACCAAAAGCTTCCAGATTATCCATGTTATCATTAGAATTTTTATATTCTTCTTCTCCCCCCTCCTCCCTCCCTCCTTCCCCTCCTCCTCCTCCTCCTCCTCCTCCTCCTCCTCCTCCTCCTTCTTCTTACTGCTATTTTTATTATCATTACTACTGATCTTATTATTACTATTATTGTTATCATTATTCTCATCATCATGATCAAAACTAAGAAGACTTACCCATCTTGACTGTTCTGCCTTGACAGCTTCTTCATGTGATCTCTGTTCTTGTCTCCTACAAGAATCGATAAAGGGGAAATGTCTTCATTACAGGTGCTCCATTCCTTCAATAACACTTAGCTTTGAACAATTGTCATAAACGAACTTTCACAAATAATTTTGGAATACAACTCTTTTTTTCACTTGCTAAATTGTGTTAGAAATACATTTCCCATTGGAAGAATGAACTAAGTATAGTGGATGCTTCTGTGTTCACATTCTGAAGCCAGATTTGGCGCCCACAGCAGGGAAGGAGTTAAAATCAGTGCTAAGCAACTGACACATATTCAAATGTATTTGATCGATCAGAATAGCAATATCTCTTTTCTTAACCCAATACAAATATACAGTTTGCCTGATTAAATGTCAATGGGAATTTCAAATATCTGAACAGCACATTCTGTAAAAAATGTCATCCTCACATCAACAGAAAAGTACAATTACAACTACATAGCAAAACTGCTCTCTACTTCTGTATATTTTTTCCTTACCATCTAACCCCCTCCCCAAACTAAACAAAAAACTAAACAAATATGTCAAACAATTTTGACAGCAAAATATGACTATCAAAGGGTACACAACCAGTCACTATTTCTAAGAAATAAGATGGCAAAATGAAATTTGAGTGTGATTGCACAGAAGACAGAAAATACAAACGGAAAGACCAAATACAAATTATCTCCAAACATTAGTCAACAGTACTTACTTTCTACCCTCAACATCTTTCATTTTCTCCGCCATTCTTTTCTCGCGTTCAGCGCCTTCCCTCTTTTCTCTCTCCACTCTCTCCTTATCAATGATGTCACGTTCTTGCTGTTTCTTGGCCGTCTCTTGCTTGACACGGTTCTTCTCATCACTCTGTTGAGGAAAAAAGATAAAGGAAAAGAACAAATGTAGATGAGGTAAAGAAAAGAAAAGGAGTAAAACTAGGTACATGTAATGCTATCATTCATAGTGAATGAATTCATTGACCAGTAACCAGGGGTTACGGAGAGAAACACGCATAAATTAAAATACATTAACTAGTAAACAGGTCTACTGCTCAAAAACATGGTGGTTTTGAAGAGGTTAAAGCCAATCTCCACTAGTTTGACCGGGAGGGATTAGACCTCCCTGCATGGTCACTGGCAAGTGGTTATCTTAATAAATCAGCTCTCAAATAACATAAAAAACTAGATGGAATTTTGACTGCGCGCAGTCGAAAATGATGCCTCCGCCATAGAGCAATTTAAACAAGTTTGGAGTTTAAATCTCCAGTGGTTCTTGAGATATCATGATAACAATCTCAATGTATGGAATTTCATAAGTTGACCTCTGTGACCCTTGACCTCTGACCTACGTGCTCCAAAATCTAATCAGATTGTCTTCCTATGGTGATACACACTATCATTAAGTTTGAAGTTTAAATCTCCAGTGGTTCTTGAGATATTATGATATGGTGATACATACTATCATTAAGTTTGAAGTGAAAATTCTCCAGTGGTTCTTGAGATATCGCGATACAATCTCAATGTATGGAATTTCATAAGTTGACCTCTGTGACCCTTGACCTTTGACCTACGTGCTCCAAAATCTAATCAGATTGTCTTCCTATGGTGATACACACTATCATTAAGTTTGAAGTTTAAATCTCCAGTGGTTCTTGAGATATTATGATATGGTGATACATACTATCATTAAGTTTGAAGTTTAAATCTCCAGTGGTTCTTGAGATATTATGATATGGTGATACACACTATCATTAAGTTCGAAGTTTAAATCTCCAGTGGTTCTTGAGATATTATGATAACAATCTCAATGTATGGAATTTCATAAGTTGACCTCTGTGACCCTTGACCTTTGACCTACGTGCTCCAAAATCTAATCAGATCGTCTTCCTATGGTGATACATACTATCCTTAAGTTTGAAGTTTTTACATCTCCAGTGGTTCTTGAGATATCATGATAACAATCTCAATGTATGGAATTTCATAAGTTGACCTCTATGACCCTTGACCTTTGACCTACGTGCTCCAAAATGTAATCAGATTGTTTTCCTATAGTAATACACACTATCACTAAGTTTGAAGTTTAAATCTCCAGTGGTTCTTGAGATATCATGATAACAATCTCAATGTATGGAATTTCATAAGTTGACCTCTGTGACCCTTGACCTTTGACATACGTGCTCCAAAATCTAATCAGATCGTCTTCCTATGGTGATACATACTATCCTTAAGTTTGAAGTTTAAATCTCAAATGGTTCTTGAGATATCGCGCTAACAAACTCAATACAAGGAATTTCATAAGTTGACCTCTGTGACCTGTGACCTTTGACCTACGTACTCCAAAATCTAATCAGATCGTCTTCCTATGGTGATAAATACTATTCCCGAGTCTTAAGTTTAAATCTTAAATGGTTCTTGAGATATTGTGATAACGGTCAAACGGGACGGACGGACGGACGTACGGACGGACGTACGGACGGACGTACGGACGGACAACCCGAAAACATGATGCCTCCGGCACCACCTTCGGTGGCGGAGGCATAAAAAGGGGACAATGTTGGACCAATGGGTACCGCTTAGTCACTGTTGGCTACATAGAGGGCGCAACTAGCTACAAGTAGTGCAGTTCCGCTTAAAGGAGAAACCCACCTCTGTATCTTGCCAGAATTTATCACTCCTCTTTGACTTGATTTCCATGGCTGCGTTGGTCTTCTTGTAGACGGATCCCACTGGTCCTGTCTGCCCAACATCTCCCGTTGGCTTCTCCTTGTGGAAGCCATAGTTGGAGCCGGAAGATTTGGCCACCAGTTTTAAGATGCTATCCTCGTCGATGTCATCTTCTGAGCGAGCATTTACGGTCACGTGGGCTCCCTGGAAGATAAAACAAAAGAATTAATAGGGAGATATAACCCCTGCCATGCCACCATCAATAAATCATACATGTACATGTATGCATAACTCATGCCCAATCAGATAATCTGGTTTCCAATAGACATCGAGGGCCCTATTTTTTAGAGGACCTATAACAATATTCTATTCATAATATGTTTTTAGTAGTGCCCCAAGGGAGAAATCACATAGAAAAATAGAAACTAACAATAGTTTTGTAAACAATAAACGGGAGGGTTGTCTGTGACTACATTACAATCCATTGATCAATTGCCAATTAGAGATACATATAGATTTAGTGATAACTCTCTTATTATTTGTCAGATATATTTCAAACTTTCTCCATTCTGTTTCTCAAATTGTCCTGCCTGAACACAAATGACCTCAATACAAAGTTTTTGATTGCCATTTAAAGAAATAATGATAGACAGAAACAAAGAAAAAATAAAAATATAATTGAAATACTAAACAAAAATGGTCTGCTCTCATCATACCCTGAATAAGTTGGCGACATCTTGGACATGTCTTGCACAGGTTCCCTTCTTGGAAACGGGGGCTCCATCACCGATCTGCAGATTAAAGACACAGCAAAAATATCAGATCATCACCTAACTTCTCTCTAGTACAGTCAAACCTGTCTATAGCGACCGCCCAAGGGGAACACAAAAAGTGGTCTTTGAAGACAGGTTCCTTTAGTGTATGTTTCAATAAGAAACCATTTTCAACGGAAACAAAAAATGTGGTCTTTGTAGACAGGTGTGACTGTATTATCAAAGAGTTTAAAGCAAACCAAGTTTGTGTCATGGAACTGCACTTGTGACAGACGGGCTGAAAGCAAATGGAAAGTGGCTATCATGCAGTAATATGGGGGTGATTGGAGCACTATGAACAAACTAACAAATACTTGTTGGAAATTAGGTGGTACAAGACAAGCTCCTGTGACAATTGCTCTGTGGACAATATCCCACACTAAACCAGGAATGCTAACTTTAACCCTAAACCAAATTTAATACCCAATTGCAACCCCAATTATAACCCTAAACTTTTCACGAAATAAAGCCTGGGGGATTGTCACCGGAGCAAATATTGGATCACCCAAAATCACACTCACTGAAAAGCAGAAATGTAAACGCACACAGGTTGGGACTTCTCCAGCTTGATTTAATTATCATTGGTAATTAAATAACTACATGTACAAGTACTATACACTTTCTACAAAAGTTGAGTAGCAAAGATCATTCATCTGTGGTCTTGAACACCCATTGCATGTTTCTGAAATTTCTGATACTTCTGATATTTCTAGAGCTCAACCTCTCTTTAAGTAAAAAAAAAAGGAGAAGGTGCATTTCAACATTTCAATTCTGTGACTTCATTTTGAGATACAGGCCTACTACTACTCACCCAGTTGATGAGTACATTCTTATGTAGATTGCTGTTAGGGTCAATGACCCTCAAGAAGCAATACTGGATCTTGGCGCAGTTCATGGTATCTGCCATCTCCTCAATGCCATCCTCTACAAAATAGAACACCAAATTTATAAAACCCCAAAAGAAATAATAATAAAAGGAAAATAAAACAAAACAATACAAAATCTGAATTCATAATCGAGTGATACACACTGCTGGAAACAGGTTATTAATGCTACAATAGATTCGTTCATGGACACTTATCTGCGCATTGGCAGATCAAGATCATCTGTACTAAATTGCAAAGCCCATCAAGACGAATACTGGATGTTTGTTTACAAAAATTATGTAATACTTATTTATTTATGTAATTCATGGTACATATATATATATGATACTCCTGCAGATTTAAGTGTTCTTCTCAAGAGGGTAACAAACAGGTATCCTTGAAGCACCTCCATCACTTTGGCAGTGATTAATCTTAAACGCATGGATATTTGAGGTCATTTGTATTTTGTAACATGTGCTCCATATAGATCTACAAGGGTCCATTTTTAACCATAAATTTGTCATAATGCAATTCTGACAAAAAAAAGAAATCACACATGAACATAAATTTTGCCCCCCCCCCCCAAATGAATGCAAGGTGAAGAGGAAGCTGCTGTTCAGAGCCTGACAATTCTCTTTAAGGATTTTACAAATAATTTTCTTCCTTTTGGTTGTCACCTCCTGCGGTCTGTAAACACACTTAAAAAAAAAAATATCTTTGAATTTTTCTTGCCAATTATTATAAATATTTTAGTAAAACTGTTTTTACTCTTTCTTTTATTCTATGAGGTGCAATCTGATCAATTTCATCATTTTGTTGACATTCAAGATTTTTTTCTTTTTAATATACAGTACGTGAAGTACTGTATATGAATGCTACATAATACATACCTCCCGTGTCATCTACCTTCAAGTCATATGTTTTTCCTTCGTAGCCAAAAACAGCCCTACGGAGGAGAGATGAAGCCAGAATTGTGATGAGAGGGAGAGAGAGAGAGAGAGAGAGAGAGAAAAGGGGGGGGGGAGAAAGAAGTGAGAAAGAGAAAATACAGGAAGTGGGAAGTGGGAAGACAATAATAATTACACTGAAGTACAAGTAGACTGATCACATCGTTTCTTCAGGGCGTGACCACACATAGGTACATTACTATATATCCTGGCTGTGTATTGAAAGCTGTTTTATCAATTCTCAACATTTCAAACACCACTGTACAAAACTCAACTGATTTCACTCAAAATCAGTACTTTAGTGACATTGATGAATAGCAGTAAAATACAATTTTTTCAACTTACTGATGTTAAAAAGAATAATTTAAAAATTCAAATTGTAAGTCTAGTGTCAAATTTGATCAGCCACAATGGTTTTATTGTGTGCATTAGTATGCAATAGTGTGTGGTGTGTATATTTGTGTATGGGTCTAATAATACCTGCCTCACAGCAAGTATGCAGTGCTAGAGGTCAATACGCATTAGCATTGACTCTTGAGCTCTCTATGCTTTGCTGGAGTGGGCGTGACCTCTAGTCTCTGTGTTAATTGATATTTGGATTATTATTAGGAGACAGGGTTAAGTAAACCGTAGGCTTAGTTCTTAACTACTGTACTACTACCATTATCAATATTATTATTATTATTATTATTATTTATATACTGGTAACTGCGTTTTTCCCAGAGCGGCCCAAAGCACTACAACATGCAACAAGAAGAATCTTACAAAAAATACTTCTTGCTCCAGAGGCCAAACAAATGATAATACTGTTGTAGCGGCTCTTACATTCGCCCTACTTACATTCGCCCTACTTTCACCGTACATTTATGTCTCCTGTATTTTTCCATCACGCTACTTATTTATATGCATTATTCGGGCCACGTGTGTATTTCTCTCCAATCGCGCATCGTGGTTCCGCACTGTTCACCCCGCGTATTTTCAACTCCACGAGGTTTTTCTTCACTCCCGCTTTCACCTTGGTCGAGTCAAGACGTCTCCGCAATTTCCTCTCCAGGCTGTATTCTTCTGTGCCTTTCGTCTTTTCTACGGCACGTCAACTCTTTCTCTGCCGTGTTCATCGGGCTGCAGTCTCCCAGTGCAGGGGTGATAGTGAGCACTAAAAAAAAAATAGGTTTTTTGTTTTCCCCTCAACCACGCCCCCCTTGAGTAAAAAAAAAAAAAGGCGATTCGCGGGGAAAAAACGGCATCTAACAACATTCCCCCCTTTCGAGTAAGAAAATCGGGAGAAAAAAATAGGGCAAAATAGGGAAGAATAGAGAAAATAAGGGGGGAATCAGGAAAATCAGGATAAAAAAGGGAAGAAAAAAAAAATCTGGTAAAAAAAAAAAAAAAAAAAAAAAAAAAAAAAAAAAAAAAAATTTTTTTTTTTTTTTTTTTTTAAATCGGGAAGAAAAAAAAAATCGGGAAAAAATCGGGAAAAATAAAAAAAATCGGGAAACCGATTTAAATCGGGTTTTTATCAGGCCTGCAGTGGAACGTTATAGTCAGGACCGACATGGCGCCTGACTCTCCGCTGGGAGCTGCCAGTTTCTTTGTTCCGGTAGCTCTTTCCACTCACGAGCTCATCATTTCACCGTAGCTCATCTAAACATTTCTTCATCAAAGTCCGGCGCATCAAACGAGCAACAATTACTACTCAGCACCAGTGCCGGCTTTGCATGTCTACATTTCTACTTGCCTCCGACATCAAGCGATTCACTGCTTCGTCGTCGAGCGCCACATCTCTTCTCTTCTCTTCTCTTCTCGCCTGAGAGCTTCAACCACATCTTTATCACGAGCGTCAGCGTCGAGATCCTTCACCGCTCTTCAGCCACGAATACGAAGCTGCATCTCCGCCTTCAAGCCTCCGCACATCATCGCGTGAGCCCCTTCCTTCGTTCTGAACTCTCTTCATCTTCATTGGACTTTCGACGCCATTTCTATTCTGTCGTAAGCTTTCATTCATTATGTACATCGCATTTATTCATGTTCATTCTCACCCTTAATCATTATGTAATCTTCGTGCAATATTCACATTTTCAAGTCTGCTACTTTTGCTTGACTGCACTTTGCAAGTGCATTGTCAGCTTTGTTCAGTACCCAATAAATTAACGAAAAGGGAATACTTTCTTTCTTGTATTTTATTGTCAGTGCAACCTTGTTTCCTCGTAGCTAAAATAAAAATAAGAGTTATGTTGTGTGACGAGTGAACACGCTCTCAAATATCCATTCACAATACCTCACACTCATATCTCTAAAGTGGTGACCCCTCGTTTACTTTGAAGCTTGGTTGTACGGATTTATTATTCCCAGACTTTTTGGACTTAGCAATGTTTTATAAAATGTCTTCATTCTGGATTATGTATTGAGTGTTTTTTTATGCTCTTGCATTTATACACGTTTATTCGATGCATACCATGTCAATACTCACTGTTCAATTTTTGGCAACTAAACAGCCGTTCGCATACCATGCTTGTTGTATTACATTCTTTCAACATGCCATGCTTGTACATTTCTTAGGCTGTTGTAAATTACTGCATACACTATACAATACATGCACTTTTACATATTTATCAGCCATTGATTCTTGTGACATTTTGTACTTTGCTCATGTATATCTTTTTCGCCTCTCATCTGTGTATTGCATACACAGCTTCAATTCTGGCAGGGGAGTAATGTAGCGGCTCTTACATTCGCCCTACTTACATTCGCCCTACTTTCACCGTACATTTATGTCTCCTGTATTTTTCCATCACGCTACTTATTTATATGCATTATTCGGGCCACGTGTGTATTTCTCTCCAATCGCGCATCGTGGTTCCGCACTGTTCACCCCGCGTATTTTCAACTCCACGAGGTTTTTCTTCACTCCCGCTTTCACCTTGGTCGAGTCAAGACGTCTCCGCAATTTCCTCTCCAGGCTGTATTCTTCTGTGCCTTTCGTCTTTTCTACGGCACGTCAACTCTTTCTCTGCCGTGTTCATCGGGCTGCAGTCTCCCAGTGGAACGTTATAGTCAGGACCGACATGGCGCCTGACTCTCCGCTGGGAGCTGCCAGTTTCTTTGTTCCGGTAGCTCTTTCCACTCACGAGCTCATCATTTCACCGTAGCTCATCTAAACATTTCTTCATCAAAGTCCGGCGCATCAAACGAGCAACAATTACTACTCAGCACCAGTGCCGGCTTTGCATGTCTACATTTCTACTTGCCTCCGACATCAAGCGATTCACTGCTTCGTCGTCGAGCGCCACATCTCTTCTCTTCTCTTCTCTTCTCGCCTGAGAGCTTCAACCACATCTTTATCACGAGCGTCAGCGTCGAGATCCTTCACCGCTCTTCAGCCACGAATACGAAGCTGCATCTCCGCCTTCAAGCCTCCGCACATCATCGCGTGAGCCCCTTCCTTCGTTCTGAACTCTCTTCATCTTCATTGGACTTTCGACGCCATTTCTATTCTGTCGTAAGCTTTCATTCATTATGTACATCGCATTTATTCATGTTCATTCTCACCCTTAATCATTATGTAATCTTCGTGCAATATTCACATTTTCAAGTCTGCTACTTTTGCTTGACTGCACTTTGCAAGTGCATTGTCAGCTTTGTTCAGTACCCAATAAATTAACGAAAAGGGAATACTTTCTTTCTTGTATTTTATTGTCAGTGCAACCTTGTTTCCTCGTAGCTAAAATAAAAATAAGAGTTATGTTGTGTGACGAGTGAACACGCTCTCAAATATCCATTCACAATACCTCACACTCATATCTCTAAACTGTAATTATGATCTAGAGTTAGTTTAACTTCATTGTACATAGAGGGGGAAAATGAGGGCATCACCATCATATCACTAAAAATTATGGCCGGAGATCGAGAGTGTGATAGACACAGAAATATGAGGTGAAATTAAGCAGTCCATACCCGGAAGTTGGCAACCATCGGTCATGACGCGCAATTCACACGGGTAATTTCCCCGTGACTTGAGCTCGCCGACAAGGCCAGCGCCCCTGGTTCAACTGTTTCCGCAACCACACAACATATTCACACACCTGTTCCTCTTTCAAACAGGAAAACCGATATCTCATCTCTTGGATTCTAACCAGTATGGTTATACTCACCAGTCTGTGGATGATTTGTCACTACAGACGTCCTTGTATGCTTTCATCAAGGCATCTCGATGTTTTACAAAACTGATCGACATTTTGATTTCAGAAATCTCTTCCTCCTCTTGATCTATCCTGTAATGTTATTCCCGTAGATGGCGCTTAATTGACATGTTCTGTCTTGGATCAGAGTGTATACTTAGCTTCTTTTCCGTATGTTTTTTACTACTTGTTTTTGTGTGATTTTGCTCTTATCTGCCACCGAACTGTCCAAAACTGCAGCCTTCAGATCCATTTTACACCGTCTTGTTAATTTCATATTCATAATCGCCTAGCTATAAATGAGATGTTAGATATAGGGGGCAAGTTCTACGATATAAAAGCCCCCCATGGATCCCCGCATGGATCCCCGCATGGATCCCCTATTATAATTCTCTCCTCTCTCTCATCTCTATCTCTCTCTGGGAAAATAGGATATCGGGGTCGGGGTGGAAGCTCCAGCCTCTCCCCACTTTTGATCAGTTTATTACACGTTTCAAAATGCGTTATACACATTCCATAATGCTTATGTACGCCATAATTTTGTTATAACAAAATAAAGATAATACTTTTGGGCTTCCTCGATCATGACTTAATTTGCATGAGATTAAAGGACAATCCAACCCTTGGTGTTATTGGTTTATTGTATTAATGCAGGACAAAAAAAAGAAAAAAGAAGAGATACAGAATGACAAAATTATGAATTTAATCTGACCAATGAAATATGCGATCACTAAATCTTTGCAAATATCAAATTGGGAGTATGGTCTGCGAAAAATGATGCAGCCTTAATTGGACAACTTTGTCTCTTAATTTAGCCATTCATCTTCTTCTACTTGTAATCATCAGGGCTATATATGCAGCCTAATCTGAAGATTGTATGTAGATTACCAGTTATGGAAGTAGGCACATTACACACCTTGTTTACATCCTGTTTGCGAGAAGCGTAGTGTATTAATGTGAATCGGGTGTGACTCTCCTAGTAAAGTAAGGATCTCAAGTCAACATTTTTTTCGAGGTACAGGGGTTTTTCCCACATATCCGAGCATGCATCAAAAACAGAGGGGAAGGGGCGCACTTAAACTCAACTCAACAACTTTTGATCTACAGTTTAGCTATGGTCACAATTTTTTTACAAAAATATCTAGACTTACTGCCTTCTAACGTGTCATTAATCATGTCTCACTCTTTCTCTCACTAATACTGGCATCATGACGACTCAGTAACATCGCCAGACTGACTCCAAACCAATCGACTTGTAACCATTTCAGATAATTGTTATTTGTTTCTTTGGTCTATCGTTTGTTAGGTGTCTATCTCAGTGTGACTAAGTTGTAATGTTAATAGTTGAGTGCATAATCAATCTGTTCAGGGTTTCTTTACTGCCGTCCTCTCCATTTAGAAAGTCCCTTATTCAAAGATTTGAAGAAAATAAAAGGAAATCTTACAAATCTTTCTTCTCTTCTTTCTCTCAAGAGCACCACAGCTGTCACTTCAGCCCAACAATCTTTTTTTTTTACTTTGCTACATATTTTCTATTTAATATATTCTATGTATACTTTGTTTTCAAGACGTATTGTTAACCAGCCTCCAAGAGACTAATATTTCAACATGCTCTGCTTCTAGTTAGTTCCTCTTTTCTTGTGCCATTACTATTATATTTGTTGTTTCTTTGTATATTTTTTGTAGTATACTTTATTCATTGTATTATGTTTTGCATGAGAAATAAAATCATTTGAATCATCTTTCTCCTCACAAACATCAAACACTCTACAATGTATAGTAATGACCTCTTGTACACACTCACAAAGAAAGGTCTTAGTCAGAACAAGAATAGTCCATATTCATCATCAGCATTTACATTTTATTTTACAAAATGGCAGACTCAGATTTCTGCCCAGGAAAATTGTTCCTCTTTTAACATATATGAGTAGAAATAGTCACTTTATACAAACAAATTTTACATTTACCATTTATGCATGATTCTTTGAAACTACTTTTCTCTAAATAATTGGAAAGAATTTAATGAAAAGAAGTAACATTTCAACATTGAAATGGAATGACACTGGCATTTTCTGGTGTGCGCAAATTCAAAGCAATGCCAAAATATCTTTATGATCAGTGCTACTACATGCATAACAAGACAAACGTTTTTCAATGAAATAATATAGAACATCACAAAGACTTTTGAGAAATTAACTCAAGGTCATGATAATTTTCTACAGCCTATTGTATTCAATTTGAGATTACCCAACATGCAATGTTTGACAGATGATGGAAAAGGCTTTTCAATTTGTCTTAGGTTGATTTTGGCGAGTTGTGTTGTAGGTTATGTAGATCTATCTTGTTTGTAAAGATTGGCAGGGGTGAGAGTTCAAAAACCTGTAAGTCCCATCACTTTTACAATGCAGAAAATCAACTATATTGGTAGATACAGCTAGCAGCAGGCACGTAGCCACAGGAATTTGAGTTCTTTAATAACCAGGGGTGATAGTGAGCACTAAAAAAAAAAATGTAGATTTTTTTCCCCCTCACCACGCCCACCTTGAGTAAAAAAAAGAAAAGAAGAGGATTCGGGGGGTAAAATGGCATCTAACAACATTCCCCCCTTTTGTAGAAAAATTGGGAAAAATAGGGAAGAATAGAGAAAATAAGGGGAAAAATCAGGACAAAATCTGGAAGAAGAAAAAAAAAAAAATTTGGGAAACCGATTTGCATTGGGTTTTTATCAGGTCTGAACAACAAAGAGAATTCTTGATTTTCTTTTTCCCCTACGCTTTAAAGTTTTAATCCTTGCGATGTGAACCAGAGCTCATATTGATAAAACATTACGAAGCCTACATGTCTGTTTGAAAGTTAAACTTTTGACCTCAACACAAAACTTTACATGCAAAATTTTAAGCTGTTAAGCTTACTAATAAATATCTACAACATAACCATTGCCAATTACGACAGGAAGTCAAGTCAGGTCATATTGCTGACGAAGGCTGCAGCTGACCCGCTGAAAATGTCGATGGTAAAGATTTCATATAAATTGCGTTAACAAATTTAACTTTCAAACATACTTATTACAAATACAGATGAACTTTTATGAATGAAGCCTACACATACAATTGTAATTGTCAAATATGTATTATGGCCTACATGCATGTAATAAGTTGACAACTAGCTTGGTATTATATGAATAAGAGACCAGGTGGTTCTCTTTGATCTCTTTGGTCAACCATGCATTCAATAGGTACAAATGCTATTGAGCTACAGTAATTTTGGCTGTGTTGTTCTCCGTGCCTGTGCAAAGCATGCAGCTGAACATCAGATCACCCATGTTAAAATTCTTTCTGAAACCTGTATAATCATACAGATTACCTCTCCTGATAAACCATTCCCTTGTTTTTACCTGGAGTAGCCTTACATATGCAAGACTCAAGTTCAATGTCCAATTGGAATACCGGTACATGCATATTTTTTTCAAGAAAAGACATTTCTCAATCTAGCTTTTAATATCTGGTCACAGGATCGATCACGAGGCAATCTCGTAACCCAAGGCATCCAGATTCTGATCCAAGAGTTGCAGTGACGACTCCCTAAGACGTGAGAGAACTTGTTTCAATTCGGGCTTCCGGAAGACCTGCAATGAGACAAAATAGAAATAGGTTGGAAACCTTGACACTATATGGCCCTTATTCTAAATAAAAGTCTAATAAAGGAAGTAAATCTAATATCTAAGTTTTCCTTTGGTTAAACAAAAGATTTCCTTAGGGTTTAATCTACTAGGTTGAAATTAGTAGAATTTGGATCCATGACACCAATCCTACCTACTTATCATAGAAGAAAAATAAATAATAATGGATCTTGTGGCAGATTAGCTCAACAAGTTATCAAATAAAGTCTTCTTCTACCTGCACATGTAATGTACATGTATATGTACTTCTGCTACTGCTACTACTAATTCAGGAAAAACCAATCCGAACAACATCAATGATATCTGTTTGATAAGCTTTACAATTTACAACTACAAATTAAGGAACATGGTTATTTGTTTTAATAATTAAAATTAACAATGTTGACTATCAGAAAAATTGCACTTTGTACAACTATAAAAAGAACATGATTGTTCCTTTTAATAACCCAAGTCACCAACGTTGACTATCAGAAACGCTCTTCCACATAATATGCACCTTGAGCACCCCACAGTGTGGATTTGGTGCTATATCAGTTACATTCATTATTATTGTTACTATTGTTAAAGTATGAAGTCATCCTTTTTCTGACCTTATAGAGCTGGTACTGCTCCGATGCCATGATGTCAGCTAGAACCAGGCAATGGTTGAACTGTCGCGTGGAATGAAGAACAGAATGTAACAGTAGACACATCTTAGGGATGCAGAGCTCTCTCAAGCGTTGCATCTGACTCAAGCGTACCTCATCCACTTCTTCGTCTTCCTCATCCTGAAAGAAAGGGATGAAAAAATATTCAATCATACAAAAAATGGGATTGACTGTAGAATATCCCAACAATAGGGTTTATGCATGGGGATGACCAAAGCATAGGTTTAGGGGAAGGGTCAGAATTAAATTTAGCTAGGAAATTTAACAGTATTCTCTGGATTTACATTAGCTTCATACCTGGTAAACTTTATGATGGGGCACTTGATTGGGTAATAAAAAGAGTTCATGCTTACAAAAGTCTGGTCGACCATCCATCCACCATCTACAAATAGAAGCACATTGTACATGGTGTCTGAGACTCCCTTGGTGAGTGCTAGCACTGTCTGATCCCATCTCTCCAACTCCATCTAGACAAAAAAAAGAGGATTGGAAGTATATTATGAAAATACATGTATATCTCTTTTATGAACAAACAGCATGTAGACACCAAACAACAAACAAACACTTGCAACTATTATTTAGTCTTGAGGAAAATTGCTTTAGAAATTGTATATAAGAAACACGTTTAATGCCAACAAAAAAAGCAAGTCACATGATAAAGATTTTTCCAGATAACGATCTACCTGTATTCATGCTGTTAAATTGCTTTATTTCAACAGGGTTCCCAGAAATAATTTTTTAAAAATTAAAAAAATCCCTGATTTTTCCTGATCGAGTTTAAAATTTGTAGATCATTATTTCACCCTATGTTTATTTTCAGTTTGAAACGTCTTCAATGAACAGTAGTAGCAGGCCGTAAAGCATAAGCAAACTCATCACACAACAGCTGTGCTGTTTGGCCGCAAGGCAAAATACAAAAGGCTGACCATCTTCTTTCATTTTTCTCCAATTTCCTGATTTTTTCCCCCAAGTAAAAAAAAAACTACAAATATTTTGCCCAATTGCCAGGATAGCTGAGATCTCTGTACAAGAAACCCATGGGTCACATCTTGAGAAAGTACAGATTATTTCTTTAAGGAATTGGACCAACCTCATATTCCTTGTGCTCATGTTCATAGCGCACTTTGTCGTGGAAGTTAGCGTCGTCCGGTAGGCAAGGAGGACCAGGCTTTTTGTTGTGGTAGTGAGCGAACCAGTCATTGTAGGCGTCAAGGGCATCCTAAACAAAAGCCAATTTCAATATTAATTCTATTTATACCTCAAATGCAAAACATAATTGTACAAACATTGTATACAAAAATACATGCAGTATAAACACAGGCAAACACTGTAAAGAAAAGATGACATGACAATGTGGCCTTGTATACATGTAAAAGAGCTTAATTCCAAAAGGAAGTATCCACTATTGACCAAAATTGATATTTTATAGATGAATATGTGCATCGGACCACATTGGAATTAAATGCACTGTATTGCATTGTTTTCTTTTCTTCAATAGGTACAAATTTTTCTTTTACAAATTTATGTTTCCAAAGAGACTAAATCCAGTACTGCAATTACCAATCTGTTCATTTAAACCACGTTCATCTCTTAAAAGCCTGAGGTGCATGTAAATGTAGAACAAGATTTTTAGAATATAAAACTTCAGCTTAAACACGGTATTGTGCCTTTTTGATGATTAACTGTATTAAGATTAAATGTAACGGATAGTCCAAAAGTATATTTCCTCAAAAGATAATATGTTGGAGAATGAGGCTTTGCATCAATTTCGGCTAAATTGATGCAATTTTGTACATTCACCATTTAACAATTACAATGCAAAGATATATGACAGAGGTCTTGAGATTACTATTCATACATCATTTGTGCATTAACAGTTACTTTATGTTCACAAAATTAGAAAAATAATTTGTTTCACCAAGTGATCCAACAAATACACTGACGACAACTGTTGTTGGTAATGGTGATCTTACCAAGTTGGCCTTAATGTAGAGATATTCCCTGATAGCATTGGTATCTTCAGCAGGTGGGGCACCAGACCCTGCCACGCCTACTGGTAATGGTTTCCTACTAATGATAACACTACAGTGATCTTACCAAGTAGGCCTTGATGCAGAGATACTCCCTGATAGCATTGGTATCTTCAGCAGGAGGGGAAACAGACCCTGCCATGGCCTTCCAGTTTCTGATGATCACATCGATGGAATCTTCTGGAAGCTTCTTGAAGACCTCTCTGGCTGCGTCGTGCTTCGTGGTGGCTAAAGGGGAGATGGAAACATGCATTAGAGAGACTTGGAAGATGGATACATGAATGGGGCTGGTCAGATGGATTGTTCTGCATTTATTAACATATTGAAATAACTGAGTGTAATTGAAAGTAATAATTCTGTTTATAATATGTATAATAATATTACATTTATAGAGCACATTTTCATTGGATACAAAGCGCATAAAAAAGAAATACATACAAAAAGAGAGCACATTATCATACAAAGCTTACATTAATTACAGATGGAGAGGTATATTGCAACAAATTAGAAAAGATATGTTTACAGATACCCCTTGAAAGCAGGGAGAGTATGGCAATTCTTTAGTAAGGAGTTCTAGGTTTTGGGGGTAATAACAGAAAAAGCCTGATCACCTATCACTAGTTTGAGGGACGGTGAGTGTATTACTAGTGGCTGATCGTGTATTATACATGGATGTGTGCGAGTGGAGTAGATCACCTGGGTATGGTGGGGCCTGATTATTGACATTATTTAAAGGTAAAGACCAGTTATGGTCATGCGATTGCATTGTGAAAGAAACGTTGTTGAATCGATCAGAAAAGGTTGATCATCTAGCATCTAGCATCTGCAAGGTTCTGGAATCATCAAAATGATAAGAAATTTGGCCCATTCTTCGTAAAGTTACAAGCACTATACACAGAAAGATGTATATGGGACTACCCTATATTTCTCACAGACCATGAGAGAAACAAATTTACCAAATATATGAATTAGTAGGCGGTTTCCCGGCAAATTTTTTATCATCATGTATTATTCAAAACATATTCTTTCACATGATTGGTAATGAGAGCTTCCATTTCATTTTTTGAAATTGGGGCGTTTCCAATACTGGTCTTTACCTTTAATATCGCGTACATGTATATGTGACATCAGCAGAACAAGGGTCAGTGGGTACTAATTACCTTTAAAAAAACCTTTCATTTGGTAAACCTCACTAAAATTTTTGTGGCATTATATGGGCTAAAGATGAGGGAATAACAGACAAAATGAAGAATAGCATAAACACAAAACCCAATTTGGACTTTTCTCTCTGGAACCATCTACTAACCAAGGAAAGTTCTGATGATAGCGTTGCTCTGCTTGACAGCTTCAGCCCTCTGTGATGGATCAAACACTAACCAGTCAATGGCTTCTATCTTACGACGATCCTCCTACAACAAAAACAAAATTCATCAAAAATTGTAATTATCTTTATTACTACTTTATAGTCTATGCAACACAAATAATCTCCCTGTGCCACAATGTATTTATCATGGGATAAATTATACTAAAGGCTTCAAGATTATGAAATGTTTACATGAAAGATTAATCTATACTGGTTTCAAAAGGGTCGTCATGGACCAGAAATGGTAAATTCTGCAAAGCCATTGAGATGCACAAAGTGTAATAATAACAATATTTATAATGATAATACATTACATTTATATAGCGCATCACATGAACACTTCAATGTGCTTAACAATGGTATTATTATTAACCTTGGTCACTAGATTTGACGTCTGAACATAAGTGTGCACCATATCCAATCCGGTCAATGGCGTGGCTTGGATCGTAGATGAATTACGTGTTAATTTAAATCCATAAAACTATAATTGTGACTGTATTTACCTGTGATGTAGCTGCTTCCAATGCTGCTGTGCGTACGATATCTGAACCAGGTTCCCCGTCTTCTTTGAATCTCAATGTCTCCACGACCTTCTTGGTGATTGCAGCTACATCCAATCCTGTCAAGACAAATGCATATTTTGAGATTTACAAAATGCAGAGTTTGTGAGGGGTATTTCCCAGACAAACATAAAACGACAGTAAATGAATGAAAAACAAAACCAAAAAAAGCGTCAAATCAATTTGATTTTACAATAGTTTCTGGGCGTGATGTTTTCTACAATGTATCAGTGTTAGGCATTTTTACACAATATATTCTTATCCAAAGCATGTTTAAAGAGGTGTTTTAGCATTTGAAACGTGAGCAACTAACCTTCATGTTTTGGTAAAATTTGTAACAAGCAACACCCCTTTAGACAGTAAGGCCCGAATTCACAAAGGAGGTTTACATTTAACCCATGGTTTAAACCTTCATTTACATTACCCATGGTTTAAAAATTAGCGCAAAATATGTGTACCTTGCCTTGCGCGCGTCTAATATTGGACCTTTTGACTGTGTCATGCTTATTTTGCGCTAATTTTAAACCATGGGTTATGTAAATGAAGGTTTAAACCATGGGTTAAATTTAAACCTCCTTTGTGAATTCGGGCCTAAGAGTTCAACAGACAGACAACTATGAAATCTTTTCTCTAGAATCTACAACTCTGCTGTTCTTACCGGCATCTTCAGCTAGCTGTAAGCAGTACTGTCTCTGATTCTTGTCATGGATGCCTGCAAAGAAAACATGGAATGATCAGTTGATGTTTGGGCGACACATGCTCTACCGGCAATTTTTGCAATCGCACTGGCCATGAGTATATGTGGCAAAGACACTTGGCTATTAGCCTACAGGACATGGCTAATCAAAATCATCTGAAGAAATGCCAATCAGAATCCATTGCATAGGAAAGTACTGGAAATTCAACTTCAGACTCCCCAGTTGTGGTATAATGTATGACAAATAAAAAGAACTGATGTGATACAGGACTTGCAGATTATTGATAATCTACAAAAATTAGCTTGTCACAATTATTTGATATTTGTTAACAATTAGCAGGACAATAGCATAAAACCCAATTTCTCTGTGAACCAATATTATGGTGACTAAAATCATTGTACAAACCTACAAATTAAAAAAAACAAAAATAAAAAAGGAGGAAAAGGAAACCAATAGATTTGATAACTCCTGCAAAATTATTTACCCCTTCTCCAATGATTTTCAAAAAAATTGAAACATCCTTCTTACCTTCCAAAAACTTTGCATACCACACAACCTGCAAATCAGCTGGAAGTTGTGAAACGTATATGGCAACCAGTTCAGTCTTATTGTCAGAGATTAGATCCTGTGAAAGTGGAACAAAAATATCATTTTATTAGTATTAATAGTAATAATAACAATAATAACAATAGCAAGAACAGTAGCAGGAGCAGCATTAGCAACCAGAACTGCATCTTTCTAAAATTTAGACTTGAATGCATGCTAGTATTATAGAAATATTGACTGCTACGAGAGGACTGGCTGTTTATATATGCATTTCCCGAGAGCCAGTATAGAAACAGCCAGTCCTCGAGTATTAAAGCAGTTGACATCCCTTTTATATGCCGAATTCAAACAAAAATCTACCAAGAATTCTTACCATATCTTTTTATCGAGTAAAGATTGGTTAAAACATCACAAAAAAACTGATAAATTGTCTGTTTATCACCGCCCGAAAAATGACTGAAATTTTCAATAAGTTGGGAATCGCAGACAAAAAGCACTATATGATGTCCGTGATTGCTCAAAGAACATTTTAACACGTAAACCAATGGGTATCGCATCAAGATTTTTATATTTTCCCAGTAACTGGAAATTTGCCGGGATTTTACTTTAATTTCTTTACGGGAATGGCTAAAATCACGAACTGCAATTTCGACCAAACAGATGGCTGGATTTCTTAAGTGAGGTATATAATGTAGGGCAGCAACATGCACAATCCCAACCAGCACATTTGATATCTTGTAAATTGCATTCCTGCTTGTTTACAAATTTGTGGCTCAGAAATTACTCCCTTGTTGATTTCATGTAGATTCCTCCTTGCCTGGAATGTACAAATAGTCAATTTCAACTCCTGAAGCAACCCTTTGAGTCAATTTCACTCTTGGTATTTCCTGAGTAATATACAAGCTGTCAATCAAAGGTACATGTACATGTAAGAGGTTTTGTGACCTACTTCTCCCTGAAACCAGTTATACCAGATCAGACCAGATCAGACCAGATCAAACACATTGTAATAATGAGTGCAGAACTTCCATGCTTGTACACACATGTATCGTCATTTTTTACAAGAATGCTACAAAATTAATCAATCAATTGATTTTTGACAAAATAAGGCCCAGAGCAAATGTCAGATCATCATGTCAAAGACATATATAAACATGACGTAAAAATGTACATGTTGGAATTGTGTACCTTGACGTAGGCCTCGATGACAGAGACGCATATCTCCTCTCTGGTTTGTAGTCCTAGAGAGCGTAAGGTGAGGGCTAGATGAGCCATGAAGCGGACTAGATGATGAGAAGGACGTGGGTTATTCTCTCTCAACCACTCACTCATTTCTTCAAGAAGGGCTAGAAGGAGAAAAATATGGTGTATAAGTGATTACTAGTTGTCTTTTCATATTCAGTTAAATTTTATTTAATGTTCACTATCTACTAGCCAAATTCATGGAGAAATCCTTTAACCCATGGTCCAACCCAAGGTTTCATTATCTGTGGACTAAAATAAGCACTAGGAAGCAAACAAGTCCTGTTTAATGGACTTGAAGCTGAACCATAGTTTTATGTACACCAATCACCTACAAAATAATTTGTGTTCAAATAACAAATAATTTGTGTACAGATAGAATGTATTAAACCAACCTCATAAATATTTACCTGGCTTTCAATGGGCTAATGATTAGGAGTAAGAATAACATAACACGTAACTTAGGAACTGTTGTGAAGTCTACTCACAAGTCACTTTTATATCAATTGAGAGTGTATTTAAACTTTCAAGGTCTCTCTTCAGAAGTAATATTGAAGCTCATATTTTAAATATAGTATTACCACATGGTACTTATAAAATATAGACAAAAATAACCTTTGGTTACTCGTACTCGTCCAAATTGACCAAGGTTGTTTATTATGATAAACAACCTTGGTATATTTGGTAAATTGGGACTAGTATGGTTACTTCACAGTGCATTCAGGACAGGGAAGTTGATAACTTACTATCAATATCACCCAGTATGATGTATTTCTGTATAAGATGAAGCTTCTCTTTGGCTTGGGCTTCTACTTTCTAGAAAGAATCAAAGAAAAATAATACATATGAAAGAAAACATAAGTATAGTACATATTCTTGCATTAAATTACAGTTAGATGTAGTGAGTCTTGGTGTCAAACTCTACTCTCTGGTCAGCCCAAAAGGATCATGTCGTCGGCCTTATGCCAAAAGGGCCTTAACCCGATTTTGGGGGTTATTGAGTTATTAACATCACCTTGTAGATTTAATCATTCTCTTTAAAATGATGTGCTTCACTTGTTGAAATTCGATTAATTTATGAAGATAATTATGAATTTCAAAAGGGCCTTAACGCGTATCTCATCTTTTTCCTTACAAGGTACGCCAAAAGGGCCTTAACCTACACGGCAAATCTTTTATCAATGACAGATTATTTCGTAATTTCCATTTAATTCAATAAATATCAGTAGAAACACCATTAAAAACATGATTAGTCTAGAATAGACACAATGTACTTAAAATAATCACTGAAAGCATATGTCATGAATTTAGATCATGAAATCTGAGTGAGATTTAAATTAGGTATGGATGCATGAAATGCGACCGACTCGTTGAAGTACGCAGATGTCAACGTATGGGACTGTGATGAAAAATAAACAACGAAAAAGGTGTTCTAAATGTACGATCTCTAAAAAATAACTTTACCGATAGCTGCATTATATCAATAAAAATATTCAGATATCAAAAATACTTTTTCAAACATTTTAATTAACCAGTTTTATCAGTTTTCGTGATCCAATAGCCGTAGGAGGGCCTTTCTGGCAGACCAAAGGTGTTGCGAAACAAGAAAATTTCCTTATGCCAGAAGGGCGCTAACTATGCGCGCGTACTATGCGCGCCCTTTTGGCATAACGACGCGTAGGTTACGCCCCTTTTTGGCACAATGCCGAGTAGGTCACGGCCCTTCTGGCATAAATATGCTGCCTTCAAGCCTTATGCCAAAAAGGCCCTAACATGTTTTTTGCACATAGCATGTACAATTCTGAATATTTTATAACACATTTAACACATTTCATGTAAAACTGAATAACTTAACATATTTATCGAAATTGGCTTCAAAAACAAAAAAACGACCACAAACTTTTGATTATTAGAGAGGCCAAAACCTTTAAACGCGATTATCTCGGAATGGCCAAAAGCAGTTAAGGCCCTTTTGGCATAAGGCCGACGATGTATGCATAGTAAATAGGGTTTCATGTACATTAGCGCTACTAGAAATGGCAAAATAGTAAAAAAAAAAAAAACTATTTATTTAGAAATTGTAAAACAAATCATTTTTAGTCGGACACATGTATTGTCTTGTATCTGCTGTTATAGTGTCTTTCATCTGTTGTCTTGAAAGTAGGAGGTCTTTATCTTTTAACACATGCTCCCCTACAAAAAAGATTGTATATCTAGATAAAGAATTCATCCATCAATGTTTACCCTTAACCTTGGATTTATATAGACTGAAAATTAGAGACATCCATGAGTAAGTGTCCCTGAAAAAAATTGTACTTATAGTGAAGAGAAAGTTAAGAAATAGAATAGCTCAGAATGTAAAATATGATGTGCATTTACATCTATCTATACATGTATAAATATGTATACAGGTTTACTAGAAATATGGGCTTCAATTGAAATGACTACATTACCATTCTATGGAAGGGAAAATTGACTTACTTGGTTTGGATGGGCATGAAGCTCTTGGAAAATCTTGGGTGGAGTGAGACTGCAAAAAAATAGTGAATAAAGAATATATTATCTATGTCAATCTGACATACAGATATCCCACTTTAATAGATTGATGTTGTTTGGTAGAGTTTTTCTCTTGATCTACCAACTCTAATGATCAGCAAGTGAGCTCTAAACTCACCCACATCCCTCTGTAGTAAGTACACATTGGCTCTGCATGATACATACATGACCTAAGTTTGGCTGGAACCCATCAATGAGTTCATGAATTCACGCCATCACGAGAACGGGACGAACAGACATTTGTATGAACGGACAACCCGAAAACATAATGCCTCCGGCTACCTTGTTGCGGAGGCACAAAAATGCATTGTTTGTGTGCTTTAGCGCTTCAGCTTTGTTTACATCTGGACCAAAGTTCACAGAGCCGAACCAGAAAAATTTGGACGTGATCATTTTGATACCTTTCTTTGAAGCTCAAAAATTCACTCTTTGGTGTAGAAGGGATTTGGGCAAGATATCTACACTAATAAATACACTTCTTCCTCATGCTTCGTCACTACGCAATGGGTTAGGTTACTTCAAACAATAATACTCCTGCTTACTCTTTGGTGTAATAGCCCTGGGGTAGAGGTTGAAGGGCCCTATCTGACCTCAGCTGGTCCCGGATCTCTCTCTCTACTTCCTGGTCGACTAGAACCTTGAAGTACCCCCAAAGGCAGTCCTCCCACAGGTCACAAGCCGGTAGCAGCTAAATTAGTTGAAAATATAGCAGTTCAGAGTTTTCTTATTTTCTAAATCAATCAGTTCTTCTTCTAAAATTGTCAACAATTAATCTCATTTTCCACTCCTTTATAGTTTGAAGAAAATAAAATGGTTATTAAATGAACCTTTATGAAAGAAATTGCAAAATCTAACTAAAAAATGCCAATTCATACAAAAAAGAAGTGATTTGATATTTTACAACGCATTGCTAATTTGTAGACTTTCATAATTAGTTACAATTAAAATCACTGCTATTATGGGTAATTCCTGGCACTTACGATCAAAAGCTAATGCAAAAACGTCATTAAGAGAAGACACTTTACTGCCAGAAACCCATTCCTATGGTAGAATACATTCTGTTTGTCCACAATGCCCTCCCTAACCTATTTGCCATACCTCTCTCAGGTTTCCACTAAGGACTGCATAGATGGCCCTCTCATACAGATGGAATCTCTCATCCTCGGCCATTCTCCAGCAGACATTCTTCCAGATGTCTCGGTACATGTTGCCTTCGATCGGGGCCAGGTCGCCTGAGGTATGAACTGAAAGAGAACATAAATAATGAATACATACTCCGATTCCTCACTGGAGAACGGAAAGAATGCTCTGCAAGAAGGACAATTTCTTTGTAGATTGTGCACTGACTAATGAAAGTGTCTTTCATCAGAAAAAGGCAGCATGACAAATTGCAACAAACATGTAAAAGCCAGACACTACTAGAGAAAATTGAAGAAAAAGGAAACTGTTTCTGCACTGTTGGTGAAATTTACATGAAGGGACACAAAAAGATGAATGCAAAAGGAATAGTAGTTTGTGATTCTGTGAATTAAAATGTCTTATCTCACATAACTGAATGACAGTTTAGGGAATACAGACACATGCATTAAGCTTAATCTACCTCTATGTGATCAAAATATGAATTTCAACAATTACACATTTTACGTTGTAGACATGTCTTTGTATGCCATTACATTTCCCTAAGCTACTCTAAGTCATCAAACTCACAAACCTGAGGTCATATTCCTATCATGATAGAGCCTCCATCCCTCTAAGGACGCAGCCCTCCACGCCTGGCCGGACTCCTTGCACAGTCTCTGAGCTTCCTCCAGCTTCCCGGCCCGGATGTTGGCGAAGACGTTCAGGAGCAGCCTGGTCTCGTCCTCCTTGTCCAGGTCAGCCAGAGGTCGGTTCTCTCGGATCGGGGCATCCGGGTCAAGAGAGGTCACCATCGTCTCTCTTGTTGATGACCCCGATACCGCCCTCTGCTGCAGGTCATGGAGAGTGTTTTCCCTGTAAAATAGAAAGCATTAACAATGATATTAAGGGATCTGTACCCTCGTTCAGTGAAAAGTGCCAAAGTCTACAGAGTTTCCATTTAACACATCTATTGTTGGACTACTCTTTGTAATAGTCCAGTTTACTTTCAAAATACGGAATTTCTCAAGAGTATTTTTCTTTTCAAACATGTACACTTACATGTGTTCATGTTTGCGGTCAAAATTGACGACTCATGTTTAACAATTATGTCAGCAACTCAAGGGATATCGACAGGTAATTAAGAAGATGCATTCTAAATTGATGAACAGATATAAAAAAAATACTTCCTAAACACTACAAGAAACTATAAGGGACAACACACTCACCAGCACACTGAATGCGAGTAGAACTGGACTTTATTGTACGAGAATGCAGACTGATCGGCAGCTACGCTTTCCAACCAATCTACAACGATCTGATGTTGTCTAACGACGGCGTCCCTCTCGAACAAAGAGTCTGCAATCTCTCTCTCGCTGAGGTGTTCGGTCTAAACATCATAGTGCGGGTAAGTATTGGAATGCAATGGGAAAGACGGTTAGTTGACATTGAGTATTAAAGGTAACAATGGAAAGTATCACTATCAACATACAATTGGCATCTAGAAAATAGTGACCACTCTAGAAAGAGTACCACATAAAAATGTTTTTTTTAACCCAAACTTATGAAATGGATCAAAATAAGTTGAGACACATCATACACATTAATAAAGTGTGCAGACAAAAGGATAATTATCAACCTCCAAAACCTGGTCAGGGTGGTGAGGGAACAATGTCTTTGCAGTTTTCTTTTCTTTGCCCTAAGCTCTCGCAAACTTGGCCTTGGTATCTTTCGCTACCAATAATGAAATTCAACCACATAGATTAGGAATTACTCATATATTTACTTATTAGAATATCAAGGCAAATTTCATATTGAAGGCATTGGGTTGTTCAATGTTCCATAACTATGTAAAAAATGTCTTGCTTTTGTTGGTTGCTGTACAGTTTTGGATGGGGAGAGGGGGGGGGGGGGGTGGGGTTAGAATCACATTATCATACTACATGTGATATTATTGTACATATGTTTTTAAATCTTTTCATAAATTGTAAGCAATTTTAGCCATCGGCTGCTATAATTTTGTTTAGTAAACAACGAATGAACAAAACACAACAAAATCTTTAAAATAAATAAGTAAATAGATAAATGACTAAATCTTCCTTACATGAATTCTATCGACAATGATAGAGCCAGGATCTTGATCTTCCGCAGACATTTGTCTGTCCTGATACAATGAACCAATCAGTCGCCATGTTGCTTTCTCCTGGGTCAGCAGGCGAAGCACTTGAAGTGTGCGGGAAAAGCTGCAAAAGATATGAAATAAAGTTACACATACAGTCAGTAATTGATACAAAAATCTATAACCCCAGGCAAAACTTTTCCACTGCCTTTAACAAAGAGATTCTTAGTCTTGCCCTTTCAAAACTTTTTTCATCTCCATCAATATCCTCAAATGATTTATGTGCATTTACAGAGTCCATTCCCAGCTTTTCAGTCTCCATTTCCATCTTTTTTTTTCTTTTTTCTTCTGCAATACATCCTTTGCTCCACGCTTACCTTTTGATCTTTTGTTTTAAAGATATTAACCAGAACAATTATAGTGTTACTCTTGAAAGAAAGGTAGTAATAGTAAGAAATCACAGTAATGCAACAAATTAGTCAACTGATGATTAAACTAATGTGCTTAATTAATGCAAAGTCATTGTGAATACGTACTCCACATAAGAATTTGTCATCAAGTCGATAGTTATTTTTGGGGTCAACAACTTCTGATTTTTAAAGCTTTAGATTTCAAGTTTTTAGAGAGATGATACTCCTCTGATGGACACTAAAATAGCATATAATTGTAATCTATGGGTTATAAGCTTTCTGTTGATATATAAATCTTAAGAAAAAAAAAAAATCTCTTACGACAGGGTCTTTAATTGCACAATTTTATCTTGTCTGATACCTTTTCTGACTGGGTAGAGTTTTGGTCATGAGTCTGTCCAGCATGGTGACCTGTTCATGACAGAGACGTTCATACTCAGACACCAAGGCAAAGACATCGGTCAGAGACTGGTGTTTCTTGAAGGCATTCAGGAACTCATCAAACAACCCTTCCGTTGCTGGAGATTGTATGTAAAAAGGAAAAATTTGCATTGACAATAAGAACATTGATACATATATGTACCAGCACATACATTTTAGCACTCTATTATTTAGTAGGATAATTGGACGAACAACTGAAAACAGACTGACATGGACACCATATTCATATAACAATACATACACTTTGAGTCCATAATATTGATTCACCAGAGTACTTCTGAAGAAAGTTGGCTATGCTTTTTATTCAAAACTCAATTTGATAGGAGACATAGTTTCTCACTTCTGGTATTTCACAAAAATTGCCCCAATTTTGTGGAATGACCCTCATGCGCTCACATGTCTGACTTTCTGATAAAAATGAACATCATCTCACAATTTCTGCAACCTCAAAAAGTGCAAGATATGTCTGTTACTCACCTAGTTGTCCTGGATCCTCTTGCAGCAGGAGATTCGCCCTGGTCATGTCCATGGTGACACCTGTTTGATCCAGCATTGAGTTATCATACTGAGGACTGGACAGCATAGAGGCTTGCAGGTTCCGGGTCGGTTCACCCATGGACATTGAAAGCTGCAATTTGCAAATTGAGTAATGGTACATTGTTGATGTGTTGTGCAATTGCAATCAATCTGATTATCAATGTCAGACTTGCTTCATAACAAATGCTTGATTGAATATGATGCGGTAAACCATGTTTCTTTTTTTAAATTGAATAATGGCATAAGAGTAACAGGTTTCACATTTCTGTGTCAACGTACTACCTTTGTTGCACACAGTTACTATTCATAAAAACATTATAATAACAGCTGTGTAAGGTATAATACTTTTTGATACAAAAATGAAAACTTTGAAACCTGCATGAAATTCATCTTAACCCCATAAATTATAACCACATTTTAACATTGGATAACAAATATTGGTATTAAGAAGAATTTTATGCCGAAGAATATTAGTGGGATGCGGGGGTTTAGCAGTAGATTACCTTGGCTGACGGAGTAAGAAAGGATCTCGCTGGTGTGAATCCAACTGTGTCTGAAACATCAAACTCTGATGTCATGGGTGGCTTCTGAGGTGTATCTGGCAAAAAGAAAAGGGAGGGGAAGGGCGGGGGTAAAACATTTTAAATCTGAACTATGAGAAAGAGGGAGAGAGAGAATAAACAGAGAAAATCCCACATGCTTTATTCTACATTTTTTCCACTCTACAAAGTACACACCTTCAAATATACTCAACACAATTTCTATTGGAAAGATATTTCATAATTTTGTTGGTCCAAATTCAACACAATATAGAGGAGAGAAGGTGGGTGGGGGGGGGGGGATAATTTTAGAAAGCGTTGCAACTGACATCAATGAAATAAGTTGTGCCAAAGGACTTTTTATCCTTCAATTTAGTACTTGGTATGTGATATCTGAATTCAGAGTAACTTCTTTACTAATGTTTTAGTATCCCGCTGAATACGAAGCCCAAGTCTGTAAAGAAATTTGAGTTTGAGTTGAGTTGAGGATTTATTATCCAAACGTTTCAAATACAGTAATATAACAACAATAAATGTATGTTTGATCATGACTTACATGTTCTGCGTTTCATCTCACTTGCAGGTGTTCTTGCTGTTTGGTTGAAAGGCCATACTCCTGGGGCGGGTGTACCCTGTAAGCCAGTTGCTTGCTCCAGCATTCCCATTGCTGTAACACATAGTCAAGGACAAACAAAACAAGGGTATGGTGACATCAGACTCACCGACTGACAGCTTACAAGACCAACTGCCTGCGAGACTGTAAACTGCATAGTTTCTGTGCTTTATAAATGTATTTAAAACTTTAGAAAAGTCGCTAGAAGTGCCAGAAGTGTCATAAGACCAACAATCTCAGTTTCCTGGGTCATTTGTCTACCAGACATTCGATCTTGTGGACCTGACAAGTTTTCTAATATTCATTTTTGCAGGCTGTATGAAAATCCACTGGAGAGTGGCCAAATATATTTACGTAATTTCCATAGATTCTCTGCCAACTTCTGTGGGTTAGTTTATACTGATACTGACCTCCTGTTCTAAGTGATACATTTATGTGCAAGCTGTACAAAGTATGCCATATCAAAATCTCTTTCTGCACTGTTTAATTGAACATGAGTGCTATTAAAGGTAAATTCACCAAAACAAGTTTGCATTGATTGCTCCTCAACTTGCTATTCCTATTAAGATCACAACCACACACAAAGATGATAATTCATTCCTACAAAAATGAATTGCAAACATGATTTCAAATGATTTTTCCTTGAAAATGCAAATAAGCTCTAACTTTTGCATTTGTAAGTGTAAAAGGAAGTATTATGGTTTTAATCAAAGAACAGTAAATATGACTTGATGAAATTCGTTTGTGAAGGATACATTTTCTGATGCGGTCATTCTGCAAGACATTGCTCCGCAGCTCTTCTCTTGGTTCTATCGATCTGTCTAGGATGCTGAATGAAAGATCACCTTGTCTGCAAAGAAGAAAAGACAAAGGAACGTTCTCAAGACAACTACTTGGATATTAATCACACCATATATGAGACAAGGTTATCATTTGAATATTTGTTGAACAGTATAACTGTCGACAGCAATAGTAGTTTCATGCCATGGATAATTAGAACGTAATGTTCAACAGTGTAATACGCATCTTAACATAATAACAACAACTTTTAATGGAATTTCCACTGAATAGACCAAGGGACAGATCTTGAAGCAAAGAAAAAAAAATGCTTCACAATTAAAGTACATATTGCAAAATTACTAATATACATATGTTTACCAAACAATTATAAATGCACCTCACGATTTCAACATTTTAATTTTGTCGTCTATCATTTTCCCTTTTTCTGGCAGTAAATATTAATAGTCTTTCTTATTTATCTTATTGTACAGGCAAAGTAATCATGACTATTTATGAAATGAGTTCAAGAATGGAGGCAAACAAATCGGTCAAATTAAAAAAACATGCATCATTCTTTCTACCACGCCTAACAGGCAAACATGTTTCTGTCAACAATTGAAAAGTTGATAACAGCTGGAAGTGATATTGCGCTGATGAGATACCTGCACCTGTGTATCTCTGTGATTTCATTAAAAGGAAATGGCGGCCCCCACGACTGTGTGATTCTTGGCATTTTGGTTGTCTTTTTGCTTATCTCTCGACTTAACATTCATTTTGTAGACCCTTTGTATAAAAGAAATACTTCCATGTTTTGGGGCTTGTGCATTAGTGATATGCACTGCACTCGGTTAATTCACAGTGAGCCAGATAATGAACTCAACAAGTATCCGATTGTGACTTAACTTTGGGTGCATTGCATATTCACTGTGAAATTTACTCGCAAACATGAATTATTTGTATTTAAACTTACCTCCCCTGACGTCTGTTGTCTCTCCTTTGATCAATAGACCTGTTCATTGTGTGTGGGTCAAAGGAGGTGTCTGGCCTCTGCGAATACTGAAGAATAAAAGCATGAATAAGTACATTTAGTAGGAATCTCTACTGCTCTGTAGATGAATGGTTATCTTTTACCAACAGTTGCCATGATTGTTTTTTGGAAATAAATTTGTTGTGAGTATGACGACTTGTGCAATAGTCGGGCGGAAACGTGTTCAGACAGCTTGAACTTGAAAATGAAGAAACAAGAAATAGATCTGATGACAAAACATGATGCAGAATAGGTGCATGAAGTTAGTGACTGTAATCTCAGATCCTCATTAAATTCATGCAAGTAATTCACATCATGAATTGATGATCTTTACGGTTGCTATCTTCACACAGCTCAGGTGCGTGTGCCTGCCCGAAACCCATCGTTGGCATGTAGATCTACTTGTAGTTGTATTCTGCAGAGGTTTGGTGTGAAACCTGTGAGAAAGTATAGACCTCTAGAGGTCTAACTAATGTCTTTATTTTTGGGAGAAATAAAAAGATAAGAAAATTTACACGAAACAGGTAGGAAGCGACTTTTATTAAATCATCATGATCATGACCATTATTTCAACAATTGTTTAAGATTTAGTTGCTTTTTGGTATGTTATAGGTCTAGGCCTAGTAATAGAAGAGTAAAGGAGCCGTAATCGGCCAGCTCCAGTTTTCGGCCGATTGGTTGGATGCAAGGTAAAATCACTCTAAAATACATCGCATAATAGCATAACACATATCCCACACATACCATACCATGCCAGTGTCACTGAAGAACCATATTTGCAATGAAAAATATATCCTAAAATATCACATTTTAGCGATGTAATCGGCGGTCCCGCTACCCGAATCTGAAAAATCGAGTATCTTACGCGTGTCTGTAAGAAATATGGGTACCATAAAATGAGCTTTATTTCAAGTATTTTTCAGATTTAGAGCCCGATTTTGTGCTAGTCGCAAGCTCAAAAGTATCTCATCGCATGTATTAAATCAATGCAGCCGCACACCGCAATGCAAACACGATATCTCTGTCTAATTTAGATTCCAATATCCGATCACCACAGTACTAGTTTTCGGCCTGGCGAGCTCCGGGGAGCTCCGGCGAGCTCCGGGATATCTGCTCCGCCCGCTAGTGCTATAGATCAGCACGGAAACGCACGGCGCGTGCGCGCGCTTCCTATTGACTTTGTACAAGCGGCCGAAAACTGGTACGCTATGCCGAAAACTGACTCCGAAACAGTGAAAATTGAAATGAATATTGTCATGGCAATTCGTGATTTTTTTTCTGGGATTCTTGTTTTCTTTAAATAATAATAATATTTGCTTCATGATTTGAACAAAAAATGATAATAAATAGGAAGTAAAGGGTCCTAAAAATAGGATTTTGTCTTAAGTGGCCGAAAACGGGCTCCTTTACTAGGCACATTCATGGGGCACTAGAGGGCGCTTCGGTCGCGTACGAAAATCTGAATAGCCTTGCTGCGGTGGGTCGGCAATAATCAGCCCAAAACTTGGATATGGGAGGTTGGAAGGATATATCTTTTTTATAATGTTATCCGGTCTTACCCTTAACCATCCTATGTTTAATCTATTTAGAAATAACATGCGAGTATGATAAAAGAAACATCGGGACCATTACTGAAGTAACTTTTAAAATATTAGCCTAGAAATGACCACCAAACGGAAAAAATTGACATTTTTTCCCAACAAATCTTCATAAAATCTGAGTTATAAACAAGTCACATCTAGGTACACTCATACAAATACGATTTTCTGAAAATTCAGGTATGATTTTTTAAGTTTCTTTCAAGTATATTTCTGCGCATTGCAGCGCCAATATTCTTCACTGCTTCAAAATCACCCTTGAATTTTTTTTTTGCAATGAATTTGATACGACGTCCGCGAGTGTTCCCCGTTCCTTGCGTGTTGAAAGTTTGGTAATACATAGTTTGCATTGACTCGCGCACGAAAAAATGGTCGAAAACAAAATGTCAATTGAAAAAATAAACAAGCTTTTGTACAGTTATAAGAGTTCTACCGAGGTTTCTTTATCGATTTAATTTATTATATAGTCTCAATTAGAATTCAGAATTATCTCACTGAAAAGTTAAGAAACCGACGATGTTCTCGATCGTAGTTATTTTCATTTTGCCAGCAGCCGATCTAGCGTTGTTTGGGCAAAAAGCTAGGCCGCTGCCTTCCCACCACGAACCTTTCTGAACCCGCTAAAATGGCGCGCTGCGGAGCTCCGAAGCTGCGTTGGTATCGCTGCAAACTCTCAGCCGGCTAGCTCCGCACGACGGACCATTCGCGGTATGGCGAGAGTGTGTGTGTGAGGTATGATTTTGGATTCGAGAACGCACGTAACGAAACCGTGCGCGTCATTTTCAGCTGTCGAATGTGTACGACGAATTTTACATGTACGATTTTTAGTACAGATACTTGGTCAGTTTTCTTCTTAAATCTTTGGTTTTACAACATTTAAAAATATAGTTTCTTCAAATCTGCTCCTGACTCGGTTCAGACTAATTGTCTGATGTGTTTTCAAGTCAATTTTTTTTTTGCATGAGTTTGCCTACCTTTACTCTAGATCTAACTTTAGAGGTCTAGCCTACTAGTACTAGTAGGCCCTACTACTAGTAGGGTGTCTGAACGATTTTTCAATTTTCAATTTGGGATCGTTTTTCACCATTTTTGTTTGATATTGGAATAAAAAATGTAATCAGAATAATACCTTTCAAATTTCAAGACTCACCGATGTTTCTATCAAAAGATACAGCCCCTCAAAAATTGTGCAATATTCATAGCATTTTGGTCAGAATGGACAGAAAAGTGGTTCACGCAGAGTTATAATTTCTGCTCAAAAGCTGCACAGCTAATGCACAGCACGATATGCAAAGTGTGGAGCAAGGGTATTTTCAAACTGTTGTAACAAATGATCCCTTGGGACTAGAGAAAAAATAAGTGCATGGATATATTCTTTACAGCTGGCCCAACTTATCCCTCGGGGGAGCAGTTCGTGAAATTGGTAAATCTCCGAGTTACCATGGAAACGATGTTTAAATCGCTGTTTTGAGCAAGATATTTTTAGAATTCCGGGGGTGGCCCCCTATGGGGAATATGGAGAAAAACCTGCTCTTTCATATGACACCACATTTATTGAGTTTCACCTTCAGGATCATTTGTTATAAAGGTTTGAATTTCTAATTTTTCATAAAACCATTGACCAATTTTGCTTGGTCGCGCAATGCATGTAGACCACATAGGGATGTGTGCAATCTCTATGGGAAAGATTTTAGCACACAACATCGGGTGCGCGATCAGACACCCTACTACTAGGCCTATCATCTATCTAGGGTATTTCCACGTTGGAGTCACAGGTCGAAAGTATGGTCATAGTTCTGAACAAGCGCCAAAACAATGACATGTCAGATCAGACCCAACATCATTAACATCAACAGTATACGGAAGAAAAGGTACTACTACTACTAGAGGTCTAGGTAGATCTACTGGTACTATTCTAGTTCTGTTTCATCAATCAATCAATGTCAACGATTTTTGTTTATCTTTCTTCTCCAGATGCACGACACTGACACTGACAGCACAAGCACAATTTATAGATCACCGTTAGTGTATCATCGTACCTTGTGCTTGTCTCAAGTGCGGGGTGTATAGTTCAAGCAAAAACCTTCTAGATACAACTGAGTAGGCCTACAAGAACTCTATGTGCAGCTAAAAACATTTAAACATCGATGTCACCACCAATGACATGGACGGTACATCAAAGTGCATGCGCGGGGCAACCCAATGTAACCAAGTTTGAAGATCAAGACAATAATTGGGTCAATTCATCACATTCTGCATTGTGAAACTAACCTTCCAAATATCTGCCATTGTAGTGTCACCTGGCTCAACAAAAGAACCAGAAGCACGGTCTGAAGGGCGACCAGCTGATTCTTTCTTTCGCACATTTTTCTTTCCCGCCGTGAATGTCGCCATTTTGCTTTCAACTCGTCCAATAAAATACGTGCTGTAAACTAGCTAGATGTTTCCGCTCCGATCCCATGCCCAATGATTATATCTCCTAATTAAGGGCATGATAGTGGGTGCTGACCTCACCTGGGCATCGGATATTATAGCTGCATAGACCTACTTTTAAAACAAAAGTGCCCCCACACTTTTCCCAAATTTTTCATTGGAAAAGTGCCCATTTTCTTTTTTAAAAACTGCCCCTTCGGATCCCCTTCTCAATACACGTGCCACTTTTCCTTAGTGGAAGTGAACCACCTATCGCTTTTTCATAAGTCCCCTTCACTTAATTTTTCACGAATGTCCCTATATTCACCTCTGATAAGCGCCCCTTTTCCTTCGACAACTGCCCTTTTTCCTATGCAATTAGCTAGCTTTTCTATCTCTGGTAAGTGCCCCTTTACGAGAAGTAGGCTTACCCCTTACCGCTTCTAGCTGATAAGTTTATTTTGACACAAGCCCCTTTTCCTTCTAATAACCATATTTCCTTCGGATAAGTACCCTCATTCCTTTTGAGCCTCTTCCCCTTTTCTAAGAGCCCTTTACATCTGATAAAAGCTCCGATTAAAATCCGATAGGCGCCCTTTTCCTTCAACACATATAAATGCCCCATAATTATATTCTCACAAAGTCACAAGTTCCTTTTTTCATCTCTTTTCCCCTTCTGATAATTGCCTACTTTTCATTTCTCCATAACATGCACCCCTTATTTATTACTAGTAACCTTTTTCTTTAACTTTCCTAGAGCTCACTCGCTCGCATTTATATTTGTGTTACTTATAAAAGATTTCCCCCCAGTCTTTCTTCATTACATTGTGATTAAAACTCATCAGGGTTTGTTTGCGTCCTCTTTTTACGATGTAAATGTTCGCACTGCAACCTCCCAAATCCTTGAATGCTCGCTTGCCCAATAGCTCGCTCGAAAATTAATATTCAGACCTTCACACCCACTGCAAAGTATGTTGCTTATGCTAGGAGTCCACTGGGCCGGCGCCAGTTGGCGCCAGTTTGCGCCAATGCAATTTACTGTGGCGCCTAGTGTCGCAAATAAGGTGCCTAGTGGCGTGTAGTGGCTCAAACTGCCTCCCAACTGGCTCGTGGTGGCGCGTAACGGCACCAAATTTGAATGTGGCGGCAAGAAAATTTTAAAATGTTTGAAATTTTCGTCGCGCCACTTGCATCGAGCAATCAGCGCCAAGTGTCCACCAAGTGGCACCAAATGGCGCGAACATATCGCCCTTTGGCGCAAACAATCCGCCTATTGGAATCCACTGGAATGTAATGGCGCGCGCCAAGTTGCGCCAATGAGATTTCGCGCCACATGGCGCCACTTGGCGCCAAGGGGCACCTTGTTTGCGCCACTACGCGAGCCAAACGGCACCCGATTGGTGACTACTTCGCGCCAAATGCCACCTGATTGCCCGCCATTCGGCGCCACTTGTCGCCTATAACAGCAGGGCGGCATCGCAGGACTTTCTCACAGTGATGGCGGCAGTTCCCCAAGCTCTAGGGATGAGGTTGTGCTGGGCATCCTCCTGGTCCAACATGCGGACGTCCAGTGCCTGATAGTGCTTCCTGATGAGGTTGTGCAGCATGACGGCAGCTTCAATGAGCAGGCGGACTGTGTCTGGTTCCTGTCTCATCTGGCCAAGGAAGCACTGGAACCGCAGAGCCAGAATACCAAAGGCATTTTCAACCACACGCCTTGCCCTGGACAGCCTGTAGTTGAAGAACTTCTGCTGTTGGTCCATGTTACGACGGCCATAGGGCTTCATCACGTACGTCCTCATGGCGAAGGCATCGTCTCCCACGAAGAAGTACGGCATAGGGTGCTCTTCATCATCATGGGGAAGAGGAGCTGGATCTGGGATGCCTAAAGTGCCAGCTTCAATGCACTCCTTCAGTTCACTGTTGTTGTAGATCTGGGCATCAGACTGATGGCCAACCCCACCCACATCGATCCACAGGAACTGGTACTTTGAATCTACCAGAGCCATCAGGACAACCGAGAAGAACTGCTTGTAGTTGAAGTAAAGGCTGCCTGATTTGTTGGGCTTCTGGAGACGGATGTGCTTTCCATCATAGGCTCCCAGACAGTGAGGAAGATTCCATCTGGCTTCAAAATCACCTGCAACCTCAAGCCAGCCTTCATTGGTTGTGGGGGGGGGGGGGGGGGGGAGATGACTTCTGCAGCATACTCATCCACTACCGCTCTGGCTATATTCAGGGACAAACTTCTGGATGGTTTCCTTGCCCACTCGGAAGTTGTAAGACAGCTCGGCATAGGTGGCCCCAGTGGCGAGATGGCGCAGGAAGACGGACAACTTGAGACCAGGGGAATGGCCTTCCTGCTGTGGGTGTCCTTCTTCTGCAAGTGGGGTGTAAGCCTGACCAACAGATCATCAAACATCTCTGGGGACACCCTGGTGTAGTTCTTGAACTTCCTCCTGTCATTCTCACTCAGCTCTTCCATCAAAGTGTGGTACTGTCCACGTTCGGCCCTCAACTGTGGGTGGAGCATGGGTCTAAACCATCAGTTGTGCTTCCTTTTCTTCTTAGGAGGCTCTTCTTCTTCAGGATTGGCCAGCATAAGTTGATAGGCAGTGGCCACCTCAGCATCTCTCATCATCTTCTGATGGAGCAGCATCATCACTCCAACATTATCAAAAGCCTCAGACATATCAAAATTGTAAATATTTAGTAGAGATGTTGTTCATACAGCAGCTGAGGAGGGTCTGAACCAGGTAGCCAATGGCCGGTATTTATTTAGTCGGCAAGTAGCGCCAAGCGGCGGCAAGTTCAAACCAATTTGGCGACCTTTGGCACAAACTAATCACCAAGTGGCGCAAAGTATCCGTCTATTGGCGCGAATGGCGCCAACAGGGTGAATTTTGGAATCAAATGGCCGTGTAATGGCGCAAACTGGCGCGAACTGGCGCAACATTTTGGAGCAAGCCGGGTGGCATTTGGCGCACGCCATATGGCACCCAGTTTATTCCACTTGGCGACACATGCCGAGTGGACATTAATTCGGCGCCACAGCGAGCCACTACGCGCCAATCACATAATCTTTGGCGCGAACTGGCACCAACTGGCGCCGGCCCAGTGGACTCCTAGCATTAAGCAGCATCTTGTACCACGTAATACGAGAGAAACAAATATTGATGTCATCCCTGGTAGTGTAATCACAGTCATGACGATGTACACGCATATACAGTCATGTTTACGAACGTCTAAATTATGTTCACTTTGAGGTTTCCCTCTGTATGTATCCCTTTCAAGTTATCCAGAAAGTGCCTTTTTTGTTAGTGCCCGCCCACTTTGGAAGACGCTCCGCCGCCCTTGGAAACAGGTCGGTGAGAGTTAGAGCAAAACCCGCTTAAAAATAAGAAAGTTATGAATATTTGATGGTGCGATCAATCAAACACAAATGGGCAACTCTGCCACGCATTTTGCGTGGTCGACGCCCATTTGTCCTGTACCAAAAAAACTTTAAAAATGATTTAATTGTCTATTATACATTCACCCTAAATATGATTATTACAAATTTGATTAAATGCAACCCCTGTATGAAACAAGTCTATTCAGTCCGCAATAACAAGAATATGAAAGCTTGCAGGATACGTCACAGTGTTGCCAGTTTGCGTTTCACTGATTAAGACAACTTCAGTTTAAATCGGATATTGCTCAAACTTTAAGTAATTTGTTTTTCCTGTTTTTCCTGCTTTTATGAAAACCAAAGATAATACCAAGGTGGACTTTCCCTTCCGCTCCCTTCTTGAAATGATTTTCCCAATAATTTATTCTTTATATAGATAACGCTTATAAGTCTCGGAACCTTTTTTGATCAATTAAAAGAGTCAAAGAGTTTGATCAATAAAGTTTGAATTTTTGTCAATATCATTTCATGAAAAGAGGTAAGAAAAGTTATTCCAACTTTATGGATAAGGTACACTTTACGAACAAAACGGAATGAATTGGGAAATCACATCATGTCAGATTCAGAAAATGAGAAAGCACAGTCATTCTACCAGCCCTCAAGGGGGGGGGGGGGGGTGGTTATTAAAGAAATGTAGACGCCATACAAAAGACTCTGCAGTGACTTACTAATGAAAATTGACGATTAAAGTTTATTGCCCAGAATATGATGAAAAAATGTTTAAACATACAACTTATAATTTCATATATTTGTTGTTGTTGTTGCTGATATTACAGCTAGAGTATTTTCCTTTTTTACAAATATATATACTTTCTTGTAAAAAAAACATGCAATAAAAGTTACAAGTACTAACAATCTGGAAAACGGATCCTAGCACATTCACATCTGAATACATAAAACGAAAGAAAAATAAACAAATGATTACTTACAATTCAGTTATGTTAATTAACATAGGAAAAAGGGCAAGTTTCTTTTTCAGCATGCGTTATTCATTCCATGATATGTGTAGAAAAGTATCATCATGAACTATTTTAGCTATTTTCCTTCTCTGTACAGTATAGATACGTGGAACTTCATGAAAAAGATGTGTCGAAATTGCACTTTGTAGAATGCATGGGATTCTATAATTTACTTGGCCCTAATGTAATGACGATGACATCGATCATGATTATCGAGACTGAATCTTTATGACTTGTAACAAATCATTTATGACAGTTGTATGAAAGCAACAAACACACAGACACGTGGTGAGTGATAATAATAATAATAATAATAATAATAGCCTAATAGTCCACTCTAAATTTTATTAAACCGAAACGGAAATTCTTTTTGCCCAATTGATCGTGAGCCCGGCAGCCACTGAGCAGCGCCAGATCGACGTTTCTCTATCCCTTATTGACGAACGCCAAACAAGGTAGCAACAAATCTCATCTTTTAACGTCTTTTGGTATGACGCGGCCGGGGTTCGAACCCACGACCTCCCGGTTGTGTGGCGGACGCTCTACTGACTGAGCCAACACTCCGGTAATAATGATGATAATGATGATGATGATAATAATAATATTAATAGAGTCTTGCAAAGAACCAATGTCTTGCACAATGCCACTCAAGTCGCTCCATAATAATCACCCTGGCTTTAGCACGGCTGCCATTACCAGATGAGGTACACATTTAGCCAGTTACCTCACCTTGAAGTTGATGGAATATAGCAAATGTAGATTAATGTCTTTATTGTACATGTATAATGAACGACAGCATTATGTGAACATACCACCAATAGGTCTAGTAATAATAATATAGTTATCAAAGTCCAATCATAATAAACGTATTAAAGTTCATGTAGGGATCTTTTACACTTTGTCCAAAGCAATTCATCGAGTTTTCCAAATGTGAAATTTGGTAATGCAATGTACAATAATATTGTATGCACGTACACATGAATCTTGACATGGGTTTAGCTCAACACTCCGGGTGCCGTATGTTAAACATGTTAAAGGAGCCACTCTGCGTGTGAAATAGTAAAATTATACTGTAACAAAAGTATACCGGTACTAAAAGAAAATGATGTTGTACTTATGTTTGGAAATCTCAAAATCCTACAGTCCCTTGGGAATGCATCCAGCATACTCGACACTTGTTTGAAAAGGCTGGATGGGGGCACAGTCGACTAGGATCGAGTAAAGGCATTGCCCCTGTTCCATGATTTCCAGGAAGCCATCATACATTGACATTATACATGATGATGATAGTCGACTGTCCTATGGACATTTTCCTTTTTCAGTAGAGCTCTTTTTCAGTAAGAGATTAAAATCACCTTCACCAAAATTTATCTAATGTATTCTAAAATACCACTGCTAAGAGGAAACCCAAGAAACATAAAACGAGAAGCATAATCAATACAGTCCTGTTTCTGTCGACGTCTTCCAAACGTTTTAGTGCTCCAGGGCGAACCGTTTTCAATGCTATCCCATGTAGGAGATCTTCTCTACATTGGAGGATCCTTTGGCGGGCATCTGGTCTAGAGTGTGGACCTACCATTCTGTTCCAAGGTGGAAATGCTGGACTAAAGTAAAAGTGGTAAGCCAGTTTCGGATCTGACAAGAGCAGACTCCAGAAACTTGGTAGAGCCCCGATTGCTCGAGCAAGCTCGTCGTTGTAGGTAGTCGGGAGGATCTAGAACAGAAATAGAACAGTTAATGATGGCGTTATTCATTTTAAATAAGCTGCTGATTGAGAAGAGTTTGTTGCGATATTACGAATCAAATTCACTGTGAAATGATCAGTGCAATTGTTGATATTATAAACAAAAACAATATCGCACAATAACGAAATTGGGTCGACTTAGAAGAAATACAAAATAATGTTCCTATGATCAATGAGATGTACGTCCCGACTGATGAATCAGCCCCTATAGACTATGCTCAAAATAGTGATCAATACAACGTAACAACAACATTCTGATCAAAAAGTGATCTCTTCGATAGGGGAAATATTGTTAAATGCAAAATGGAGGGTTTTTTCAGCGCTTATTCATTGCAGAAAATGGTATGAGTAGTACCAACAGAATCACCTATTTATTATGCATAATGGCTAGAACTGCAGCCTTCCAAATTCTGGAAACTAAAAAATGAATTGTGTGCTCATTATGTTTCTATACATGCTATAGACCCGCATGAAAAAAATCTCTAAACAAAACAAAAATCGTATAGAGATACCTTAGGTTGGTTTACACCATACTGTTTGACGACAGCGTCCTTTCTTCTTGTCACGTCCGCCATCATGTCTTGATGACTTGGTAGTTCAACCTCTTTCTTGAACACCTTGAGGGCGTACCGAACTTGCAGCTCCGCCGTCGGTCCTACTGCACCACGTGACCGGATGTAACCAATGGCCGCAAGCGTAGGGTGTGCAAGCCTGGGTGGTATGACGTGCATGTAAAGCTCTAATTGATTCGAGTTACCTGAACAAGACAAGAAATAAGCGCACTTCAATGAAATATTTATCACGTAAGACTGTTAACGCTCGTCTATGAGTTTGCCCTTTAAAATATACTTTGATAATTTTTTTGAATGATTGCTTTATCTTTTATTCTACAATGAAATCAGTTATTACTAAAAATAGTTTTCTGTCTGAGCAACTTCTTCCAAAGATAGGCAGAACTCGTTCTTAAAACGTGGAGGGGAATCATTATTGTACCTCAGATTTTGTGAGCCTTTAAAAAAAAAGGGATTTTCTTTTTTTCTTTTTGTTGTTTGAGGGGTAGAATAAAAGACAAGTGTCATGGGGACATTTCATAATTACCCCTCTGTCCTTGAATCGTGGGTTCCTCCGACTATACTTACAAACAGGCCGATATATTGTCCTTTGCTTGATAAATAAACATCGAATACATTATCAAACCTTGATTCTGTACATGAACATCTTACCCAATATATTTTCCTTCAGGAATGGAGTTGCTGGATTGTACCCCGTACCGTAAACGACACAATCTACATCATCCAAGTAAGAACCATCATCAAAGATGACCCTAGACCCTTCGAACCGTTGAAGACCACTCCGGACCACCACCTGCCCGCTCATGATCTTCATAGGGAGTTGGTCATTTATCATGACGCTGTTGCTATTGGCGGGATGCTTGCTGCTCTGAATCCCGAGTGCTCTCCAGTCTAGCAAGGACTGCATTTTGATCCCTATCAAAGGTTTGAAGATCCAGCTAGGAATCAGATCTCTCCATCTTTGATTAACGTATGCGTCAGTGGGCATCCTGCCCATAATGCGGGGCACAATCCAAGCACCATCCCGCATACTGATGTATACCTAGAATATGATATTGAAACAAGGACAAAAAAAAAGAATTTTTGTTATATCAGTGAGTGGTAGATCCAGTATCTTGTTAACAAAAATATGGAATGAAAATGACTGAATAGACAGAAGAAAGGGGGTGATTCCGGAAAAAAAATCACACAACATTACTGAGGAGGCAATTTTGTTGTGTACTTACGGTATGCCAATTTGGGTTTCCAAGGTGAGGCGGGAGAGGGCCGGGGGCAATGAATTGGCCAGTTGTGCCCCTCATTTTGGGACCATTTTGGGACCAATCTGTGGACTCTGGACATTGTCATATGGTTCTTTGGAATGCTAGATCTCTTAAGAAGAAGATGCACATGGTGTCAGACTTCGTAATTACACAACATGTGGATATCTTGGCACTCACTGAAACATGGCTCACAGGAGATGAACGTGATGGCCGGGTCTTGTCCGATTTCTCCAATGACCTCCCATCTCATGAGTTAATTAGCTCACCGAGAAGGAATAGATCAGGTGGTGGCGTTGGTGTATGCCTACATCGAAGCTTCAAAGTTCTTGGAAAGGACTTCGGAACTCTTGAATCCTTTGAATATCTTAACATTCTCATTTCAGCTGACCGTCAAAAGCCTCTTCGCTTGGTGGTAATCTACAGACCACAGAGAACTATTGATCGACGATCAACATCTTCCATCTTTCTTGATGAATTCGCTACCTTTCTTGAAGGATTGGCATCTGAACGCAACCATCTTGTGATATGTGGTGACTTTAATTTTCATGTCAACGATGATAAAGATCGAGAGGCTATGTTGTTTCTGGACTTGATTTCGTCAGCCAACTTGATCCAGCACGTTAACTTTCCCACCCATCAAAAGGGCCATACGTTGGACTTAATTCTTACAAGAGCGTCGGATGATGTGATTTCTAATGTTCACTCATCACAATTTCTTCCTTCAGACCACTCATCCGTCGGCTGCCAACTTAACATCAAGAAGCCGGATCCTATGAAAATTGACATCAGTTTTCGCAAACTGAAGGACATTGACATCCAAGCTTTCCGTGAGGATATTCTAGAGTCTGAACTTTATAGATCACCTGCTTCTGGTCTTGACCAGCAAGCTGTTCAATATAACAGGGTACTTCAAGCTCTACTTGATAAGCATGCCCCTCTGATTACTAGATGTGTAACTGCAAGGCCTCACTCTCGATGGTTTACCGATGATCTCCGTAAGAGTAAGCAGAGGGTAAGACAACTTGAGAGAAAATATCGTCTCTCCAGAGCCGAAATTGACCGCCAAATCCTGAAGGATGAATGTCGTCTCTACAGCAACCGACTTGCCATGGCTAAAAGGGAGTATTACTCTGAACAACTTGATGAATGTGATACCCATCAACTCTTTCAAAGAGTTGATCGTTTGTCTTCTACCTCCACAAGGATGGTCCTCCCGTCAGATGATGACCCTCGTCTATCTCTTGCCGATCGTTTCTGTAATTTCTTCAGCACCAAGATTGATGTCCTTGTCAGGTCTCTCGAGAGTCTACCTTCAAGTAATCTAGCCCATATCAGTTTTCGAAGCACTCTGCAATGTTTTGATGCCTTTTCTCCAATATCACAGGGCCAAGTTTGTGGACTGATCCTAAAGTCTCGTTCAACTTCCACCCGACACGACCCAATCCCTACTTGGCTGCTGAAGAAATGCATTAATGAGTTAACCCCGGTTATAACATCTATTGTGAATGCTTCAATCACCAATGGTCATTTCCCTGATTCTCTCAAACATGCTCACGTGACTCCACTCTTGAAGTCCACGAAGCTGAGTCCTGATGATCTAAAGAGCTACAGGCCTGTATCTAATCTTCAGTTCTTGGGAAAGACTGTAGAGAGAGTCGTGTTAAAACAAATCCAGGAGTATTTGTCCGAGCATAACCTATATTCTGAGATGCAATCAGGATACCGGCCATATCATAGTTGTGAAACTGCCCTGCTAAAAGTTTCAAATGACATTCTACTTTCCCTGGATAAAGGCGATGAAGCGATTCTGTTGCTGTTGGACTATTCTGCAGCCTTTGACACCGTGAGTCATGATGCCCTTCTAAGCCGTTTGCATGATAGATTTGGACTCAAAGACACAGCCTTGGAATGGTTTCGATCCTACCTCACTAACAGAACTCAGTCTGTTTTTGTTAGCGACTGTGAGTCACATGTCAGCTCTTCGAACTTCGGAGTACCCCAAGGATCTGTTATCGGTCCGTTAGCATTTACACTTTTCTCGTCTCCATTAGAGGATGTCATCAAACACCATGGCATATCGTGTATGACTTATGCAGACGACACTCAAATTTACCTCGTGCTAAAGAAGGATAACCATGCTGTTGCTCTACAAAGACTCAGTGCATGTTTTACAGACATTAAGAATTGGTCCATACAGAATGGATTGAAATTAAATGAAAATAAGACGGAGTGTATACACTTTCTTAGCAGACATAGGACGTGTAGTCCGATTGATGATGTATGTCTTGATGGTACTGACATAGAATGTTCTACAGGTGCTAGAAACCTTGGGGTCACATTTGATAATAATCTATCTCTGAAGACTCATGTGAACAATGTATGCAGATCTGCCTCATTTGCGTTGCATAAAATCGGTAGCATCCGTCAGTTTCTTACTAAAAAGACCACCCAGAGACTTGTTCAGTCACTGGTCATGTCTCGTATTGACTTTTGCAACAGTCTTCTGTATGGTCTTCCTGATGCACAAATTAACAAATTGCAGAGAGTACAAAATTCAGCTGCTAGACTTATTGCAAAGCGTCGTTCACGTGAGTCCATCACTCCACTGTTGAGGGAGCTTCACATGCTAAGAGTCCGGGAACGAATTGATTTTAAGATCCTCTTGCTGACTTTCCAATGTTTGACAAAAACAGCTCCAGTCTACCTTCAAAGGCTGATATCAGAATACTTACCCTCCCGCAACCTGCGCTCAAACAAGAAATCACTCTTAATAGTTCCTGCCACCAATACCCAGTCTTATGGTTCCCGAACTTTTTATGCAGCATCCCCTCAACTCTGGAACAATTTACCTCAATGTATAAAACAAGCAGATTCAACAGACAAATTCAAATCCATGTTAAAAACCTACTTTTTTGTTAAATAGCCTTTTTCATTTGCATATGCAGCCCCCTCGATTGTCCACTATCTATTATGTATAACTTAATATCTGGCTGTAATTCCTTCTCTTTCTATTTTTCTTAAGCGCTTAGAGACATATTTTGTGATAAGCGCTATACAAATGTTGTTAATTATTATTATTATTACTTGATAAACACTAGCGAATGCTCAGTGGACAAAGAATGATCTCTACATGACTATAGTCGAGATAGAGGAACTATATGCGACTGTGATGGGGATGAACAGACGATGAAACCCCTTTCAGTCTGCTCCCCTCCTCCCAGAACCCTTTACCCCAAAGAACTAGAGGGTTTCAACCCCAAGGCTAGGCCATGTGTCCTCCACTGGACAGGGCTTGCGTAGTGTCTCAAGAAGAAGAAGAAGAATGATTGCAGACCATGTTGGTGTGTTGGTTGGTATGTATATATATCAGCAAAAGTACACATTTTTACCTCACGTGTTTTTCGAGTGCGTTTCGAAACTTAAGTGAAAAGGGACATGCGCGAATTCCTGATACAAATTGCCCCTTTTTGTGAGTAAAATATGTCATCCATTTTAAAATAATTTTTACAAGAAATTATGGCCATTTCGTGATATCCCCGTAACCATAAGGATTAATAATATTTACCTTCTTAGCATGATCACTACTCAGAATGGCAATATCTCCGGCAGAATGTGAAGCCCCTGTAAAATAAAAGAAGTTGGACAAAATACAAATATTATCTAGTTCTCAAAATAAAATATTACCTAAACAATAATACATACAACCTGTCAACTTTGCAACGTTTATCATATGGTTTTCATGTTCTGTTTTGTTTTAATCTTGTTTCGTTTTTGTTTAACTTGGGATAAACATACAAAATTACCACCCGAAATATTGAAGGGTGTGTCAAGTCAAAGTCCTCTTTTATGCCGCCTGACAAGCAAGAAACACATTTTTAGAGCTCATGGTGGAAGATAGATTATTGGAGTGATATGCTCATATCCATGGGTGTCGATCCGTAACTGATACCTATTCATCAGGGGGGGGGGGGGGGGTGATCTATTCATTCATCCCCCCCCCTGATGAATAGGTATTACGTAAGTATCGACACCCATGCTCATATCTAAAGTACACACTATAGTTACATGCATGCTATAATCCAAAAACATATCTGTTTGTTCTGGGATATAACAATTGTTCTCTTTCATTTTCGTATTTTCTCTCGTACTAGTTTTTAATCTTTTTTTGTACAACGCAGACGTTATTAATGTGATTCCACCTTTGGCACTATAGGGCGCCTTGAACATTTGATTTTAAGTGGATTTGGTGTCTTATAAATGTTATATTATCAGTATGATCGCTATTATTATCATCATCATTACTATCATTTTTTGAAATTATCATTATCATCATCATCATTATCGTTGTTATTATGTTCACCATCACAAATTCACAATTATTTACCAACGACTAGGATTGTCTTGTCTTTGAAGTTTTGCCCACATCTGAATTGACTGCCATGTAAAATTTGACGACGGAACTCATTTTGACCAGGGTAATTCGGAACTATACCGGACGAGTACATTCCGGTACATACCATAACAGCATCAAATATCTGTAGTGAAAGAGAAAAATCGTATAATACTAGTATATAAAGCTGGTTCAAAGTCGGGAGTGATTTATAACAGCTCCATTGAGATATAAACAACATAAAAATTGACTTTGATAAAGGTTCAATTCAATTCAATTAAAATGAACATTTATTTTCTTCCATTCAATTCGACAACATATTTGACATCTGTTCAAACAAATACAATTTATACGTAGGAACATAAAATATAAGGATTGCAAACATCGTGGAGCTTCATATTAACTTCATATTTAAAAAAAAAAAAAAAAGGGGGGGGGGCATGATAATCGCTTGAACAGAATTCTGCCCCTTCACTGTTTACTATCTAGACAGGCTATCGACACTACTTTTAAAATATTATATTTTAATTAAAACCAATTAATTTCAAGTAAACTGATAAAGCTCCATTTTATTTGAAGCGTTACAGTTTCAGCTGATTGACACGGTTTTAGATCTGGAGGCGCTTACAAAATTACCTCTGATTGGGGCTGCCCATCCTCGTGTTGGGTACACACATTCCATCTTCCCGTTTCGCGAAAATCTGGAGTCTTCGTTACCTCTACGACTGTTGTGTTGAACTGGATATGCTTGATCAGATCAAACTCCTCAGCGTACCTAATATAATAATTCCTTACGTCTTCCCTCTGTGAAGGAATCAAGTTATCAGATCATAATTTATTCAGCGTTGTTTTCAGATATAGTCTAGAGAAAGAATGAGCAGATGCAATCCCTCAATCCAAAAAAAAAAAAAACGTTTTGCAATTTCAATTTCACTGATTAAAAATGGTTTCAATAGTTCTCACATTTAAAAGAACATTAACATTAATTTATTTTTCAATAAGTAAAGTTTAAGAAGTTTCACTCTTTTCTTATGATGCTTACGTTCTTTCTTTCATTATTATAAGAACCCGATGTTAATACCTTAAACTTACGGATTGGCGCGCAGACCTTTAGGTTCAAATTCCACATTAAACAATAATCATAATAGTTATGGTATATCATTGTGTAAATTAACCAAAGGATCTGTCCGCTCAAAATTTACATGCATTTTTTGTACACCTGCGTCATGCTGGGTGTTCCTTTTACTCCTATAAAATGCATTCAAATTGAATTGGATATACTTAATGCTTAAATAACTGAAGGTAACTTGACAAAATCATCAAGTAACGGAGTCATTTAACATGTCAAGCTCATGTTCTTTTTATTTTAAATTTTCATCATTGATGCGTTAATCATTGATGCGTTCTATTTACCAATGGATATGGTGGAATGTGTCTTTGAAATGAGAAATCACTGAAAGCCATCATCTCCTTGTTCACGTTTGTGACGAGTCCATCATAGATACCAGCTGGTCCGGTCGGATCGGATCCTACTTCTTCATTGTAAACCCAGGTGCCACCTATTATACCAGAAATTAATTCAAATGAAAATGAAAAAGCAGAGCAAGACTATAGACGAAAGTTACTTTTTTAAATACTTTAGGATATATATGCTAGGTGAAAGTAGAACATAATTATAATATATATAATTATGAAGTAGTACTTCACTTGAAGAAAACATCTGAAAACATATACAAGTACAATACTTTATAATTTGTTGATTGACTATTAAAGGGACAGCGCTTGTACCCTCTGAAAAAGGCGCTTTGTAAATCCAAATGTTATTATCATTGTTATTATTATTATAATTTGAGAAATCAAAAGAGATTAAGAGAGTAATAATTTGTGTCGCCCGGCCTTTCCGTGTTCCTCCTTACTGTTTCCTTCTACAGAGGTTGCAAAAATTGTTTCAGCCGGGAGTCGAACCAAGGCCTTAACCACCTTACCGCAGAGACGGGTCGGCCCCTCAGAGAGAAAAAAAAGGAATAATTAACCCGTTCTCGTGGTATATATAATGAAGTATATAGACTGCCAGAGGAAAATGCTGTAAGCCAACGACAGTTTGAGTGTTTTTAATGATATACGTTTCACAATTTTTCGAGAGTCTGTATGTGATATGTTATCAATTGATACACGGTATCGTGTATTTCGTTTTTGTTTATTTGTTTATTTTTTATTTCTACGTTTTCAAAATAATACATAATAGAGAAATTAGCTCTAATATACTATAGCATCGGCATATTCACACGGTCGATATATTTCTCTGGTATTACCTCAGTCGCACTGCGGCCAAACCGACTTCAAACCGACTCCTAACCGACCTATATAATATATCTGTTCTGTCTGTTGTCTGTTTGTTGTCGATCTTGTCAGTTTGACTATAAGGTACTATAAGCCTAGTCATTGTAATACAAACAGTACACTCGTAGGTAGGCCTTTATCACGCCTGGTATATCTCCCCCTATTGTTCATAGACCGGGTTCACGTCGGTTCACGTCGATACACGGCCGCTACGTGCACAATGTACAGTCAAGGAGATATCAGCTATTGAATTCTACGTGCATACATGCAGTCATACGGGACATTATTTATATATACTTTACCTAGTTGTTTGACCTTTTCGAAACACACGGGTTGTAGCCCTTCCTCGAGACATGTTTTTATCGCAACAAGACCGGAAACTCCAGCTCCTATGATAGCCACTCTCTTCCCGTTCATTTTGGCGCCGTGTATATTAGACCTCTTCCACTCCAACCAAATACAAGTATGAAACCGTAAACATCAAAATATAGTTTACCGGTGAGCCATCGCAATATTTTACTAATTTTTAGTAGATCATTATGCTTGCATCAGCACGTTCTATTCCAAGTGTATTATATGAAAAACAATATATCAATTTTGTTTACTCAATTCATGTCTACTAGCTAGCTCCAACCAGTGTTCGAGTACGTTGGAGTGGACTTTGTACCGATGTCGTTTCGAATCAAAGTTCGCACCAGTAGCGCAGGGGCTATTTTTAACGTTTAACTTTGAATCCGCGGCTCGAGATTTTATGCAGACGGCCCGGCCCCCTCTATTCGATAACGTTTGCCAAGCCTTCTGGAATGACCCCAAATCTCCCGATTACAGTTTTCTCTTATTCGTCGTTACTGTCACCATAGACGGTGGTAGGTCTATGCTGTCACTAAGCACCATTTCCTTGTCTTTCCCCCTTTCTCAGCCGACTTTTCTCTCCCCCACCCATGTATGTTCCCTCTCTTTGAAAGCACCCCTATATCTCCGGTGGAAACACAAATTCGGACCCTCCGACCGCGGAGTGGGAGGGAGGGAGGGAGGGGGGGGGGGGGGGGGTTCTTCTTTTGCTTTTCTCCTTTTTTTCTCTCATTGTCTCTGTTTCTTTTCTCTTCTCCTTTTTTTCTCTTCTTTTCTTCCTCTTTTTTCCTTTCTTTTTTTTGCGCCGCCAATAGGGGGGGGGGGGGGGGGGCGTTTCGGCCCCCTGGATCCGCCACTGCATTATGAATCCCGATTTTCGAATCATCAGGAAAGAGTTGCAATTCACCGATTTCAGATAACACACTGCGCGATATCGAGAGCGCAACATAACAGCTATCGTAAATCATCTCGCGAACACCCGCTGAGTTTACGAGGCGGCTTCGAAACTCGCTCAGACCATGGACCCTATGCTCTATGGAAAGCCGTTGGTGACTTTATTCACGTGCCCCAGACGTATGGAACGCGGCACACGTCTGCTAAATTGACCAATCACCGCCTGTTATTTAGCAGGCGCGTGCAAGGTGCGATAGCACACGCCTGTTACTTTGCCAGACGGATGCGCAGAACGCTCGTAAATTGAATTTTAAGACAACCAATCAAGTCCGCTGTTACAAAGCTGCTCAGCTCAGTACGTACGGCGCCTGTTCGCTATTACAAAACTGATCAGGTCAGTACATATTGGATAGGGGACATACCCACGGCCAGGCACGGATCCAGGGGGGCCGAAGGGGTCTCCCCCCCTCTCCCCCGCCAAAAAAGAGAGAGAGCTAGAGAAAGAAGGAACAGAAGTGAAGGGGAAAGAGGAGAGAAAGGAAAGAAAGAAGAGGAAAGAAAAGAGGGGGGGAAGAGATCAGCGGGGGGGGGGGGGGGGGGCGACTGAGGGCCTTGCCTCCGAGGCTGTTGCCCCCCTCCCCTCTCCCCCCAAAAAGAGAGAAGGAAGGAAAGGGAAATAAAAAAGAGAAGAGGAGTCAAAGGAAAGGGGGGGGGGGAGGAATAAGAAAAGTAATGAAGGAGGATTATCAGTTACGATTTTCTCGCCAACAATTTGTTTATCCTCAGGGGGGGGGGGGGACAAAAAAAAGAGAGTAGGAAGGGAAAAGGACAGAGGAGAGCTAAAGGGAAAAAAAAAAGGAAAAAAGAAAAGAAACAGGTGAAAAGAAAGGGAGGGGGGTCAGATGCAATTAATCCAGCCAACAACATGTGGTTCGGGTAGGGGGTGAAAGGCCTTTGCCTCCCCCCAGCAAACTTTAAAAAGAGAGAAGGAAGGGAAGGGGAAGGGAAAGAGATGAGAAAGGGAAAGAAAAAAAAAGAGGAAGAAGAAAGGTAGGGGAGATCAGTTGCGATTTTTCCCGCCATCAAGGTGTGGATCGGGGGCGAAAGGCCCTTGTCTCCCCCTCCCCCCTCAGCAAGAAAGAGAGAGAGAGAGAGAGAGAGAGAGAAAGAAAGAAGGGAAGGAGGGAATGGGAAAGAGGAGAGAAAGGGAAAGAAAATAAAGAGTAAGAGGAAAAGAAAAGGGGGAAAAGATAATTATGGTTTCGCGCTCATCTCGCCTCCCCCAAACGAGACCAAGCGCCAGATACGCCACTAGACACCACTGGCGTACTAATTCGAAGGGGGGCAGACTCCCCCTAAAGTGGTTCATTTTTAATTCGATTTCAGTGATTTACAAATGTCGTAAAATGACATGATTTTTTAGTAAATTATACTGTTTTATGAGTTTGTTGGAAAATGACGAATTCCGAAAGTTACAGTCAGGCGAAAAATATGCTTATTTTGAGGTCTGCAAGTCAAGGCTCGCGGAACATAAATTGGTGTGGAGTCTAGGGGCGGAGCCCCCGGAAGTTCAGGGGCAATGGGCATTCATTACGTTCAGATGAGCATATTTTGATACCTTATTAATGACACGGGTAGGACACTAATTGGCGTGGGGTCCAGGGGCTGAGCCCCCGAGGAAACTCAGGGGCTATCGGGGCATTCATTACGTTCAGATGAGCATATTTTGATACCCCGGAAACTCAGGGATTTTTAGACATTTTATAACTGTCAGATAAGCATTCAGGGGCACGCCTTAGGGCCCTAGGTGGGGTCAAGAGGGTGAAGCCTCCGAAATTTCATTTAATTACGGTCAGTTGATCATATTTTAAGACTTCATTATTTTGTGACACTGGCAGGTCACAATTTATTTTTCTTACTTCTCCCCACTTCTCTTGAATAAACTTTTTCAAAATAGATGGGGGACCCATGCCCCCGAGCCCCGCTGTGCCGCGAGCCTTTACATGTAGACCTCTAAATAAGCATACTTCTCGCCTGACAGTAACTTTGGGAATTCGTCATTTTCCAACAAACAGTAACTAGCAGTAACTAGGCTTGTAGTCCGGTCAGCTCCGTTTGGTATCCTGAGGTTTTGAGAATTCCAGTGTCATGGACAAACGAAAATCTTGAAAATTTTCATTGGCTAAAATTGTATAGTTTCTGGGTGCCTGGAGATGGTAGGTCCATAAGTTCTAATAAAAGCTTCGTTCACATATGCCTTCCGGTCACAAAACCTTATTATCTTATTTAGCTCAAAATCTTGGAAATCTAACTTCCTTACTTATTTGGAAAATAAATCGTGAAATATTGTATATTTACGAAAAGCTTGAATGTGGTATAACCTAAAGGGTAATTCCACTTCAAAATAATTCGCTTTCAATAGATGTAGAAAAACAAGAGGAGCAGAGCAGAAAAAATGAGTAAAATCGGATAACTAATAAGGAAGTTATGATTTTTTTTTTTAATATGAAAAACTATGGAAGAATGGAAAGCACTACACAAATTGCCAATTTGGTTATCAGTTTGTGACGCCATTGCCTCACTATTTATCAATTGCTTTATATATTTTTATCCCATTAATTTCCCTCTTTTGACTTGATTTCCCCATGCCTTTGCCCAGGTTATATGATTTGTATCGTTTTGCGGGCATGACATTTCACAAGATTTTTTATAAACTTTGAAAAATTGAAACTATTTTCAGAATATTGTATATTCATAATTATTGACTTTTATATAAATAATTTTTCAGAATTCACATTTTTCATGATTTAACTGAAAACAATTACTCTACATTAGATTATTATTGCATCCACACAAAAACATATTATTGTCAATATGACTTGGATGCTGGTGTTAGGAGATGAGATTCTCAGGGGGAAAGTGAGAAATGTATATTACCAATAGAAAGAAAACAATAAGAGGATAACGAGGCAATGACGTCAGGAGCGGATCCAGGGGGGTCGAGCGGTCCTTGCCCCCCCCCCCCCCCGCAGAGAGAGAGAGAGAGAGAGAGAAGGAAAAGAAGGGAAAGAGGAGAGAAAGGGAAAGAAAGAAGAGGAAGAAGAAAAGAAAAGGGGGGAGGAAGAGATCGGGGTTGAAAGGGCCTTGCCTCCCAGGCTGTTCCCCCTTCCCCCCCCCCCCCCAAAAAAAAGAGAGAGAGATAGAGAGAAGGAAGGAAAAGGGAAAGAGGAGAGCTAAAAGGGAACAAAAAAGAGGAAGAAGAAAATAAAAGGGTGAAAAGAAGGGAAGTTGCTGTTAATCCCGCCAACAGCGTGCGGAGCGGAATGGGGGCCGAAAGACCCTCGCCCCCCCGGTCAACCTATAAGAGAGAAAAGGAAGGGAAGGGAAAGGTAAAGAGGAGAGAAAGTGAAAGAGAAAAAAAAGAGAAAGAAGAAAGGTAGGGGAGATCAGTTGCGATTTTTTCCCGCCAACAAGGTGTAACGTAGGGGGGGGGGGGGGGGGGGCTCTGGTGTACTGATAGGGAGGCGGGGGCGGCTTTGGGGAAATAAAATTCAAACGTGGTTTATTTCTAATTCCATAACGGTGGTTTACAAATAATGCTAAAATGACATAATTTTTCCGAGATTTGTCCTCATTTTTTAGTAAATTACCTATATTTTTGTATGCGTTTGTTGGAAAATGACAAATTCCTAAATTTACAGCCAGGCAAGAAATATGCTTCTTGAGGTGCCTACATGTCAGGGCGCGCGGAACGGCGGGGATCGGGAGCCTCGAACCCCCCCCCCCCACACACACACACACAATTAACAAAAAAGTATATTAAAGAGAAATAGAAAGAAAGAGAGCAAGAAAGAAATAATGGTTAACTGCCAGTGGCACAAAATAATGAGGTATCAAAATATGCTCATCTGACCGTGATTAAATGCCTATAAAACCCCTAAGCTTTCGGGGGCTTTGCCCCCTGGATTCCACCTAGGGCCCTAAGGCGGGCCCTTAGATGCTCATCTGACGGTGATTCATTGCCTTAAACCCCTGAGCTTCCGGGGCCGGGGTGGGGCAGTGGGGGCGGTCCTCCCTTAAACGCTGGCCCCAAAAAACAAAAACAAAATAAGAGAGAGGAGAGCAAAGGAAGAGGACATAGGAAGAAAAAGGAGCAGACAAAGAAGATTTTCGAAGGATTAAAATCAGATTCGAGAACGGTTCAACGAATCGTCTTCTTTCTATAATGATTTAAAGGTACTATGTCCCTTTTGCAGCCAACCTCAAATTCTGTAGAACTTTGCAGGAATTATGAATATGTCATGTATGTCCTATCTGTGAAATTTAATGTTAGCAGTGTCCTCATATTCAAATTATGCAAGGAAACCTGTTTACTTGCTGGACTTCACTGTCAGACACTATTGAGTGACTGACTGGCTTTTTTCCTCTTTGGTAATAACATACATGAAAAGAGTTGTGAAGGGTACATGAGCATTTGTCTACATCAATAACCCACTTCTTTAGATGGCCAAGATTAAACTGATT